CAGCTGCAACCATGCTTGGCTTCAGCTCCCTCTTATGGGGATCACCCCCGAGAAACAGGAAGTCGAAGACTACATTGCCCTTTGGAGATACGTGGCCCATGTCATTGGGGCACCCCAGGAGTACTTCACATCAGCAACGCAAGCTAAGGCTGTGATGGAAAGCTTAGCTTACAACGAGCTCCTTGTGACACCCACTTCTGTTGTCATTGGATACAACTTCGTTGAGGCCCTCAAGGATCTACCACCCATCAACATCTCGGATGGGTTCATTCAGGCTGCTAGCCGCGTCTTGAATGGCCACGAGATCTGCGGCCAGCTTGGTATGGGACGGCCCAGCTGGTACTCGTATGCCTGCTTCAGAGGCCATTGCTGGTTGGTGTGGAGTCTGGCTAGCCTGCAGAAATGGATCCCTGCCCTTGACGATAAGGTGGTTGATCTCTGTCGGGAAGGGCTGCATGGCGCTATAATCCACAGTAACCAAGGTCTCGGAGGTGGCTCCATCCTTGATTTCAAATACGTTCCGGATGGGCGGATCCAGGGAAAGGAGAAGAACGACCGGGCCGAGGGGCGTTTGTGGTTCTTTGAGAGACCCCTTGAGTTCCTGTACTTTGTAGTGTTTGTCATTGGATGCACGGTGGTGTTGGCATGGTTGCTTTGCATGGCGCAGCTGCTTGGGCTCGGGTCCTCGCGTCTTGGGAGATAACCTGTTTTGGCTGAGATTACATTCTGTACTGTAGATCGCCCCGTAATTCTATTTGTCGTATGAAACAACATGCAGGTTTGTCGGGTGTCTAATGTCATCCAGACTCCTAGGTCCATACAATCCTTGTCAAATCTAGGGCCACAGCAACACCTCCCTCGCCCGGCTGAAGTTCAGGTGTCTGAAATGAACCGATCATCACGCATTAGGAAGCATTGAGGTATTTTCATCCCCCAAAGAGGCAATACTTACCATTTTCGCCCAAGACCATTTGACCTTCTCCATAGCCCAACTGAGACATGTCGTCGTGCCACTGTATATTTGACAGATCACTGGTCAGAGCGCAATCTACCAAGAAACTATCGTTTGCCTCGATCGATCCGGCACGTCCGCTATGCCCTGGGACAATGGCCAATGAGAGGAGCTCAGTCGGTAGTGCAGAAGTAGGCAATCAGGGAAATACTGGGTCTTGACGCTGCGGTTGGGTCAAATAGTGCCGGGATCGACAGGCTAGCTTCGCGTGGCTGTCGTCTGACATGAAGAACCCCTTGTCGAAAATTCAGCTACTCCACACCAACCATGGCAAATCACCAACTGTTCAGCTATCTAAGGAACAAACGAGAACTGAGTTTGATGTTGCATGATAGTAATTGGGGTTCTGTTGGCTAAAATGGCGTTGTCTGCCACGTCATTCTGCTGTCAGCCTTTAGTGGCTCACAAGTGCGCCAAGCCTCCTTGTCTCACTGTCAACTCCATCGGCCCACGTTGTGTAAAAAGTGTCTTAGATCTAGCACGTAAACGATTTAGACCTCGACGATCCAAACATTGAGTGATTTAATCCACTGCATCCCGTTCACGCGGTATCGGTTCCCCGATATTTTACGGACTGCACCATCGTTAAGCCTGCTGCTGCAGGCACCCTTACCCTGGTCACCGCGAGGCCCGCGCCGTGAACCAGCATGACATATCGCGCTATACTACGCTATACGCGCTATTGTCCATGATAGCACCAAAGCCAAGAGCGTGACGTGTTAAGTCTGACCAATGATCTGCATGGAACGCTGCTACTGGTGCTTTCATCTTCAATAGTATGTGATTGGGCTTTTCAAACCAGGGTCGTCTCGAACCGAACTGAATCATTCTTGTCAAGGAGGTAGGTAAACAAGACATTGGGGGCCCTTGGGGGCAAATACGAGTAGCTAATAGGATTGTCAAGCTCGCCAAGCTTATTGTATAATGGCATTTGTCATTTGAGGGCGAACTTTCTGGCCCCCCCCCCCCCAAGGGTGGCTTGAACTGCAAGTTGACCGTTGATTGCTGAACCGCGAGTGCCGCCTGATTTCTGGGCACGCTAAAGGCCCTTCGGCGTTAATGATCATCACGTCGCTCGAGTTGGTTCTGCGAGATTACTCAGACATTTGAGTCTAGTTGCCTGCAGACGGTGACCTCCGCGAAATTCCGCAGCTGAGGGTTTGGCAGTGGTTGTTGCCTAGTCGCCTGCATCGCAACGCTCTTTGTTATGCGTAAACCAGCTTGAGGGTCTTCCTACACTCCAATGTTTTATAATGAAGCAAACCTAACAAAGATGGAAAGCTGAAGAAGGGTATGCTGGCTTTAATTCGAGTAGTGCTGCAATAAAGCTTTGGGCTGCGCCATTTGCTTCAGGAGCAGCCTTTCCTCACTCCATGTCATTGGGGCTTCCACAGGGCTGAACTACAGAAATCGTGTTTCAATGTGACCGACAGCTACTCAGCAAGCCGTATTTAAAGCATGTCAATAATTTTAAATATATACCGACTGAGCACCAATAGTATTAGCCCAGGTCAATACGGAATGTTTTGGGTAGGTTCAGCATGTGTTCAGAAGTCAAACGACCAACGATTGGCAATGGCATTACTTTTGCAACTTTTATTAAATAATTCCTTCCAACGAAGGTGCCACAGTAAGCAAAACTACAAGGATGATTATTGTTGAAGAAAAGCCGTTGACCGTGTGACTCTCGTTAATGTTGCATATCAGCTGCATCTCAAGCCCAAACCTGATCATAACAGTCAGACCCCTTGGTATTATTTTCATGGTAAAGGCATTGAACATTGAGTCCCTCAACATATTTATATATTAGACACTGCCTCCCTAATATACTATGCTATGCAGCTGCCTAGCCGTGATCCGCCTTTCACTTCAGTCTCACGTTCACACGTTTCCAGCTTCTGTCAATCTCAGAAGTCTTTCATTTACAATCGGTAGGTTCTTATGCAGAGAACTGAGTAGCGCGGCGTTTGTTACGGTTGTTGGTGTCGGTGTTGGTGTTGGTGTTGGTGTTGGTGTTGGTGTCATTCTGGTCCTGGGTATCTTCCTCTTCCTCATCAGCGTTGCCGTTGCTGGCCCCGTTGCCCGTATTGCCTGCATCTCCAGCATTGCCGGCGTTATCGGTACCAGCGGCGTTCCCAGTATTACCGGTACCAGCGTTGTTGTTGTTGTCGGTAGCTTGGGCCATTTGAACTGGAATGACACCACCGAAAGGACCAGCCCGCGCCGGGTTCTGGCAACGAACAAGGCAAACATTCTCCTCGCCCGCAACCGAGCCCGTGCAGCTCTGCCCAGCAGGGATTGAGGCCACAAGAGGAAAGTCACCCATCTCACCATCACGGTTACGGCCGCGCTCGTTGCCTTCAACGTTGGTAGTGACTGGGATGTTATCCCATGAAGTGCCAGTTCCATCAGCGTTGATCATACAAGCGTAAGGTCCAGCGCCATCAGAATTGACCTGATGGACTGTCATCTCAAGGCTGCCGCCAGGGTTGACTTGAGGAAGCTGACTGCCGGTCTCTTCCATGATGTCGAGGGTGCCCTGCTCAATCTGGTTGTCACCACCAGCGAGCGTCTCGCCAACAGTGTCAGCGGCACTACCACGGAAGCGAGTGGCATCGGTTTGGAATGGACGGCGTCTGGTGCCATCGCGAGGAGTGGAGGTGTCAACACCGAGAGCCATGCCAGAGCCGCCGGCGTCTCCAACAGCATTGGTGATTACACTGTGGGCAGCTATCAGATCGGCTGCGACGATGAGAGCGAAGATGATGTTCTTGATGGGTGCCATTGTGATTTTTGTTGAGGGGGATTAAGTAAGAAAGCTGGTCCTTGTGATTTGAGAACTTTGAAGGTAATTAAAGACCTGGCCGGCAGGAAATAGAAGCGAAGAGAGTAGAAGAGGAGTAGACTGATGGTCTTAGGATTCTGGTGATGCTGAGGATGCTGAAGCTGTTGATGATGATTAGGAATATTGGTGAAGGGAATTAGACATCTTTATAGAGAAGTCTCACAATACCTCTTGTCAAGTCTTACCATCTTCACATACACATATCACCGGGAGAGACAAGCCAAGAAAACACAAGACATCCTATGAGACATTCAAGAGCTTCACAATTAACAGTATTCTCTACAAACATATCACCAACCAGCTTTACTTTCGCTATGACCCTCACGGCCAAGACCCCGGAATCCTCGTCTCCCGAGAGAACCGAAGCGCACAGCCTCTTTATTAAACAAAACGCCAAAACGCGTTTTGACCATATCTAGAGTACGATTCGCTGCACAAACTATAAACCACTGATTTATGGTTATTTTGAACATAAAACGGTATGATTGCTGCGCCCACCGACAAACCGGTCATAGCGGTTGTATCATGATTCGTTGCACACGGACACTTGAGCCCCTGTAGTTGTCACAGTTGCTGTATCCCTGTTGGCCCCAGTTGAGTTCGTTGCCCTGGATTGGCTACAAGCTGGGAAACTGCGGATAGCCCACCTGGACTGTTTTATTCCTTGTTGGATTGCTCAAACTGGAGCTTGTGATTGATCAGAATGGGCTTCAACTACACCCATTTCAGTAAAGTTGACTGTGAGAAGCCAGGGGCTCAGGTACAACTGATACGAACCCTTGTCGCTGTTCTGAGGAGCCAATCGTATCTCTTCTTCGTCAAATTCCGAGATCTACAATAATGTTTTCTGTTTCCTCGTCAAAGAGATACCTAATCATTATTTTAAATCGTGTTTTAAGGTCTGCGAAGGCTATCACAGGCATCACCTCACAAGCTTCAAAGCTAAGAGCGCTAATGCTCTTCTTCATTGCATGCGGGCTTCTTCAATTGACGTATAGCAATTTGTCAAATACGTATTTATTATCATCAAAACTGATTTGCACTAAGAATCTTAAACATTTCGCGGGACCTTTCTACTAGAGACACGGGCTGAATAGGGTAGCAGGGTTGAGATTGATAATTGAAATCTATAAGCATTCCTCCTCAAGACCGAGCAATATCAAACTCAGCCATATACCAGTTCTGAATTGCTTTTGTATCTCCCGTAATAGCTACAGTGTCATACCGCGACCTCTCCTGCTTTGCGACCGAGCCATTGTTAACCATACGGCCAACCCACTTGCCATGCCTGCGACCAGCGTTGATGATCTTATCAATAGCAGCAACAAATTCGGGCTCATCACCTCGCGCAGGTACATATCCCAGTAATGACTGGGCAAGATCATTGGGCCCGATGAACAGCATGTCCACGCCGGGAGTGGCAGCAATCTCATCGACGTTCTCGACACCAGCACGAGTCTCAATCTGAATCATGGTGATGATGGTCTCGTTGGCAGACTTCATGTACTCAGGTGTTGTGAGACCGTGACCAATGGCAGGGAATGCAGAGCCCTGGCCTCGGACGCCCTGGGGAGGAAACTTGGAAGACGCGACAATTTGTCTCGCCTCATCTGCGTTGTTGATCTGAGGAACCATGATGCCGTGTGCACCGGTGTCGAGGGCTCGCTTGATGATATCGTGGGCAGGTCCGCGGATACGGATGATGGGCGACACGCCAAGGGCTGAAATGGCCGCCACAGAGTTGTGCATTGAGTCATCTCCAATGTGGCCGTGCTCGCAGTCAAGGATGATGCCGTCCAGGCCGGTTAAAGCGACAATCTGAGCTTGGCGCACGCTGGGAATTGCAACAAAGGTCATCAAGGGAAACTCGCCAGCCTTGATCTTATTGAGAAACCTCAATCGAGGGTTCTCGATAGTTGTTGTGAGGGCCGTAGGATATGTTTTTTGAGTCATGGTTGTTTTGTGCTGCGCAAAGAGATTTGATGAAGTTCTTTTTTCGCTAAGCAAGCAAATGTGAAGTCAATTTGACGCGTGGTTGTTGATGCGTTGTTGAAGCCGATAAGATAGTGAGTAGTTGTTACGATCTACTCGGAAGTTATTGGGTTCTTTAATTAATTCTTCCAATTATAACAATATCCATTATCTACAGTTTCTCTTCAAAAATGCCAATTGTACGCCTTCGTTCACGATAACGTAATGCTGGCTGGGTCCACAGGGAGGAGCTCCCCCCGGGCTGCAGGGGAATGGGCAATCTTCCTGCAGGCCCTGTCCAGTGAGCTCCTCCTCCGAGTAATCGGTAAACCTACCGATAAGACTGCTAATCTGGCGGGCGAACCGCACTAACCATAACGGCAACTCCCGGCTGGACCCCGGATTCTGGTATCTACAGCGTTCGGCTTCAGCTTAGAGCTCGAGTCGCGTCGCCGAGCTAACGCATTTCATCCCCGCATTCTAATCAACCCCCCGTCATTCGTCGCCCGCCACGAGACCTTGGGCGACTTCATCTCATGTGTCGAGATAACGCTATGTCCGGCCTGTCGGTGGATTTATAGACTCGTCTCCCGACGAGTGTTGGAACGAAAATACCAGACAGCCATCCTCGTCTCTTTATCCCTCACCACTCCAAGACACGAACAACATTGCCATCATGGCTACCGTCCCTGTGGATGAATCCCTCAAGCGGTCGCCCTCGTCTCATGCCGAGGGTACCAGCACTGCCTATCAGAGGATGCCCGAGTCCCTCTTGCACCTCAACGAAGAAGAGATCGCTGCAATGAACAAGAAATTAGTTCGCAAGATCGACTCCATCATCCTGCCCATCATCGGAATACTGTACATTCTCAACTACATCGATCGTCAGAACCTGGCTGCGGCCAAACTTCATGGCATCACCGAGGACCTCAACATGACAACGGAAGAATTTGCTACCGCTATATCAATTCTCTTTGTTGGTTACCTGCCGTTCCAGATCCCGAGCAATCTCATCATTGCGAGGATTCCTCGGCCGGGTATGTACATCTGTGTTGCTGTGGTCATTTGGGGGACTATCTCAGCTTGCACGGCTCTCGTCAAAAGCTATGGTCAGCTTCTCGCTGTCAGGGCAATTCTCGGTGTCGCCGAGGCCGTCTTCTTTCCAGGGTAAGAATCACTCACTTCCTGCTATAAATGAAGACATATCTGACGGATCTTCAGTGCCATATACTACCTCTCCGCATGGTATACCAAGACCGAGCTCGGAAAACGAATTGCCAGTCTCTACATCGCCCAACAAGTCGGTAACGCGTTCGGTGGCCTTTTCGCCGCAGCAATCTTCCAGCTCGACGGTCGACATGGAATCAAGGGTTGGCAGTGGCTCTTCATCATTGAGGGTTCTGCCACTGTTGGAATTGGTGTCGTTTGTGCCTTTTTCATGCCCGAGTTTCCCTACAACAGCCGAATCCTTTCCCAGCCCGAACGAGACCTTGCCGTCTGGCGTATCGAGTCAACAACTGGTGCAGCTGAGGGTTCCGAGAAGGAGAGCACTCTCAAGAGCTTCGGAAAGGCTCTGTCTGATCCCAAGCTTCTGCTTCTCATTCTGTGCAACCTGCTTTCCCAGGCGCAGGGCTCGATTGCCAACTACTTCCCGACTCTAGTTGCGTCGCTCAACTTTGGCAGCACCGTCAGTCTGCTGCTTACTGCACCACCCTACGTCCTCGCTGGTGCCGTCTACTGGGTGCTGATGTGGTACAGCGACCGGAAGAACACAGCATACCCCATTATCATTGGATGTATCGCCATTGCTATTGGCATGTATATTATTCCCATGTCTACACTCAATGTGCCGGCACGTTACTTCTCCATGATGATTCTTCCTTTTGCGTCTGTTGGTCCTCAGCTTGTGCTATACAAGACCATCAACCTTCATCTTGCACGTCCTGTTTCGAAGCGCGCTGCAGCATCTGCCCTGGTCAATGCTATTGGCGGCACATCCAACATCTGGGCTTCATACTTGTACTATGCTCCTCCTCACTTTTATGCAGCATTTGGCACTCTTATGGGCTGCGCCTTTCTCTTTGCCGGCACTATTACTTTCTATCGCTGGCTCGTCTTGCGTGAAAATAAGCGACTGGACTCTGGTGATCCTGAGGAGATAGCTAAGGTTGTCAAGGGTGGTGTTACTGAGGAAATGGTTCAGCTTGGTTGGCGTTACGAGATGTATTAATTGGTAGGGCGAGTGGTACATGATGTATTAGGGTGAACTTTGGAAACAGATAAATAGTGAATTGATAAGGTGCTCAGGCTTCATTACTATTGCATAATTATGTAAATATTTATCATCATGTCGCTCTCAATAAATACGTCACTAATGCGCGAAGATAATACAGGATAAGGAGGACTGTAGTCCATAAAACAGACAATGTCGTCGTTTAGAATATAGGGTATGCTTCAGAGTGAACGGGTACACTGTAGATAAGCTGATAACCGATAAAGATAACGGTTTATAAAACTGGAGTCTCTCGATTGTCTGTTGGTGATAGGCGTTCTCACCGACCAATGATAGCCATTCTCAGCCAACAAGCGTGATGGGGGAGATAAGTTAGTGGAGCCTATCACATCCCTGGAGATAATGATGACCCACACTGCATTGCAGATTAGATTGCGGGGAAGAGAGGAGGAACTGGGAAGGGGATTGATTGTCTGGGGGAAATTGTCAGTCATTTCAACTCAACCCAGCCATTGATACTCCGTAACCGGCATACATATACCAGCTCAGAATGGCATCAACAAGCACTCGCAGCATAGCCATCTCTCCACCGTCCTCACAACCTTTCCAATGCCAAGTATGTTCAAGTCGCTTCACCCGCCATGAGAACCTGAAGCGTCACGCTGCGCTACATTCTCGCTCCTCCAGCAATGCCTCCATACCCTGCCACCTCTGCCCTGCCACCTTTTCGCGCCCGGATCTACGTCACCGGCACATGAAGCGGAAACACCTTGACCGTATGGAAAAGACTTCACGGGGAGGTAACTCACCGCAGAGCGACCTGCAGCGCCATGCACCTACGCCGCCGTCGCTGACCAGTGAGGCCGAGGCCGAGGGTGACGGAGATCAGCTTTTTCGACAGACGTCTATTGGCAATGATGCTATCAACCTTTCCAATAGCTTGCCTTCAGATCTGGGTGAGACTCAAATGCTCGCCACGTCATTCTCGTCCCAAGAGTCAATGCTGTTGGGCCCGATTTCCCAGTTAGCATGCGCCAACTTTCTCGAGCCCTCGTGCAATCTCAACATGTCCAACTCGCCCTCTGGAATGAGTCTTCTCAACTTTAGCCTCGACCAAGGAAGTCCCGAAAGGCTATTGTACGGATCAATCGACTTCAACCAGGGCCAGAATGACTGGTTACCGTCGACTAGCCAAATTACAAACGGCTGCCAATTGTATTTCAAGCATGTATCCCACTTCCTACCGTTTCTGCATCAGCCGACATTTGATTCCACGACCATCCCAAGCCACTTACTTCTCAGCATGCTTTGTATAGCATATCAATATGGCGTAGATCCAGATCGTAGTGATCAGCAAGGGTCTGGTGTGAGCTTATCGGAGAGGTGCTACCATCGCGCTCGAGATCTCGTGTCTGGCGATGATAATGGGTCCGATGAATCAACACGTACTCTATCGCTTGTCCAATCTCTCATCCTACTCGAAGTATACGCCATGATGTATCTTTGCGGAAATCACTCCGCGTATGGACTCAAAACTCACACCAGGATGATCTCACTCGCCCGATCAAGTGGGCTGTCTATACCACTCCCAACCGAACTCACTTCCAAAACCCCATGTCTTAATTCCTTATGGCGCACATTCATAGAGGCCGAGTCGCATAAGAGGACGCTCTTCGCTGCCCACCAGATCGACACGTTGTGGTATCAGTTTCTCTCGATACCCCGTCAGTTCTCCCATCTCGAGATCAAGCACGAGCTGCCCTGCCCCCAGGATCAGTGGGCGGCATCTTCAGCAGCCGAGTGGGCGCACAAAAGATTAGTTGCCGTCGTTCCTGGCCCGCCAGTTCAGTATCCCGATGCTGTTCGACTCTTCTTGTCATTGGCATCGGATCCCGGGTCCTTTCCCTCATTTGACCCATATGGAGCCATAAACATCACCCAATTCCTCGCATCCAGCGCTCAAGAGACGTCGGGCTGGAGTGCCATGACAGGAATGATTAGCACAGAAAGGCTTGAGCCATTGCGAAAGTCTCTTGAAGCGTTGGGCCCCGTTGTCCAGTCTGAGGAAGAGTTGCAGCACTTAAACTGGCCTCGTGGAGCGTTGTGTGAGGCTACATGGCAGTCTGCCATGATCGATGTGCGGATATGGTCGCCGTCGCATACGTGTGGAATCGTCGGTGGGACAATGGATGCAGTCTTGCAGCAGACGACATATCTGGCGCCATCGTGCGAGTTTCTTTGCGAGTCCAATACTGCGCAAGTCATCAAACCTCACATCGACTGGTTTCTCACATATCTCGACTCGCCCGTAGTACCAGACTCGGAGGCACCTTGGATCATGTTGTACGCCTTCAAGGCTTTCGTAATCGCCTGGCAGTTGATCAAGGGCAGTACGCTAGGAACGATGCAGGTTGTCGGCGTTGAAGATGGGGATACCAATGGGGCTCTGGAGTGGGCCAGAAGGGTTTTCGGACGAAGGCAACGATGGCAGCTTGGCAAGATTATCCTGACGTGCCTTGACACGTTATGAGCAATTATTTATACGCATCAGCGAGCCATCCTTCATTTATGTGTAAAATTAGATGGAGCAAACAAGGTTGCGTCCCTTGATCATGATTAAGATTTTATCGACTCTATTTGCCGAGCTGTACGAGGTGTGATCGGCTCACACACAGCCAAGCCCATCGTAAGTTCGTGACGAGAAATGGTCTGATAGCTTCTAAATGGGCTTAGCTGTCGCATTTGCTAGTTTTGTATTATACCGCATATTGCGGATACTGCAAATGACAAACAGTCCCAGGAGGTATAACTGTCAATCATGTTCAATTGGTGAAGAATATTATAAAGCCAAGAGTAACATTCTCTATCTATAAAGCCTTTAAGATCCGGTCTATTCTTTTGCCTCTAAATTTCAGCTAAGCCTGCGCAATGCACTCAATCTCAATAACAGTACCATCACCAGGAGGAACAGCCTGAAGACACGAGCGCGAAGGCATGGGCTGGGGCAGAAAGTCTATGTACACCTCGTTCATAGCGGCAAAATCCTTCATGTCAGCCAAGTAAACATTGTACTTGACAACCTGCTCAAGAGATGAGCCGGAGAGCTCAAGGACCTCTTTGAGATTCTGGAGAACAGTTCTCTGTACAAGCTCGTGTTAGACGGTCAACAGGTAAGGTGGGAGGATGAGAAACGCACTGTTGCCTGCTTAATCTCGCCAGTGGCAGTCTGCCCGGCACAGAAGACCAGACCAGGAACTTTGGTGGCTGGGCCTGTGCAAGGTCCCTAATGTCAGTGAGGTTCTTCTCTCTCAGTGGAGGACCTGGGGTTTAGGCGACTTACAGTTGTGGGGCTTGGTAGGGAACTTTTCACTGGAGATAAGTTGGCGAGACATGGTTGATTGTGAGGTTGAATGAGGCGGAAAGTGAGACAGATGTTGCGAGGACTTGTCTGAGAACTTGTGAATGATTTGAATGATGATACCAAGCTTGATACCGAGCAAAGAATCGTGCCCTTATCATATGCGTCCTTGTTCATGTTGAATCTCGGGATTAGTTGATTGGCCGCTTATCTGGGAGGAGCTCCTCCCAAGTCCCCTGTTGGGCCCCTCCACGGCTCACGCTAGCTCCTCCCAATGCCCTCCGACCCTAATCCGAATCAGGCGCAACCCCAGGGTGATCACTGGCTCCATCGGTCTCTGGGAGGAGCTTGACTTATTGCGATGAGGCACTATCAATCAGCAAACGACGTAGCATCCATCTTGGGGAGGATGGACGGTGGCGTTGGAGCTAGATAGCTGAGGCACGTGAGTCGATCGTATGTTGTTGAACTCGGGAGGCCGGACTCTGTCCTGCACCATCTCCGAGAGGCGGAGCTCGACCAAACAAATTGGACAGTTTAGTGTATAAGAGCAGAACAATCAACCTCCAAACCACAATCTCCATCAGACTAAGAAATCAGATCACAAGCCATAACAACTATCTCACAATCTAGACATCACTAGAACTTCCCAATATGTCGCCAGCAGCTCCATTTAGTCCCCCTTCAGCCGAATTGCCCGGCAAGCCCTTCGTCCCTGAGTGGATTCCCCCACCAGTGACACAGCAGAAGGAGCAATTTGCCGACCTCACTTCTATTGATCTCTCTTTGCTCGACTCTGATGACCCTTCTGTTGTACAGGAGTTGGTCAACCAAGTTAAGAGAGCTATTCGCGAGGATGGGTTTCTATTCCTTGAGAACTATGGTGTCTCGTTAGAACAGGTACGAGACGATGCATCTGATGTGAAACAACTGTCGCTGACGCCTTGTACCACAGCTCCATCGCCAATTCGCCATCGCCCAGTACATGTACAAAAACATTTCTGAGGAGGACAAGGAACGTCTGCTCTTCAACCCTGACTCCGGTGTCTGGTCTGGCTACAAACACCCATTTGGCTTCAAAGTAAGTCCCTGTCTCTGCATTCAGCCTATTAGCTCTTTCAATTGAACCGATTGACTGACTGGTTCTGTCCAACAGCGTCACCGTGGACCTCCCGATGGCATTGAACAGTTCAACTGGTACCGACCCGACTGGGAGGACATCAACCGCGTGCCCACCTGTCTCCATCCCTTTATGGATGAAATCGAGGCTTTCGCCAATTACCTCACCGGCTCGGTCAACCGTCGTCTCCTGACTCTCTTCTCTCGAGTTCTCGAGCTCCCAGACGATTACCTATGGGAAAACGTCCAGTCGCACGGCAGCCCAACTGGCGAGGGCTATTTCAGGCACGCTCTCTTCAGACCTGTGCAGAAGACAACAGAAGAAGCTTCCAAGGGTCTTCGCATGCATGGGCATACCGACTTTGGTCTCACCACTCTGCTCTTCTCTGTTCCTGTCTCTTGCCTTCAGATCTGGGGCCAGGATGAGAAGTGGTACTATGCCCCCTATAAGCCTGGTGCTCTCGTCGTCAATATTGGTGATACTCTCGAGATTGTATCAGGGGGACACTTCAAAGCCACTCGCCACCGTGTCTACAAGCCCCCGGTTGACCAACGCAACTACGAGCGTCTCTCATTGGTGCTTTTCAACAGCTCCGTCGGTGACTTGCGCATGACTCCAGCTGCTGGTATGTTGATCTTAGCTGTCCCTTGGAATTCTTGGTATTGACTGTGTGACAGAATCTCCCCTTATCCAGCGCGAGGGCTGTGTCGAAGAACAAGGAGTGTACGCTGAGTTCAAGAAGCGAACGCAGCAGGGCAAGCTTGTTCCCACCAACCGAGAATGGCGCGAGATCCAGATCGCGACATGTACGGATCCTACCGATACTGTGAACAATAGAGTTGGTGCTCATCAGGTTCTGATTGATGGAAAACTCATGCATCAGCGAGAGTACATGGGAGTCAAGGTCGTTTTGCCAGTTTGAGTTACTATTAGCTTATAGTTGTATCGGAGTATGCCATATTGTTCACTTTTACCAAGTGTCAGTCACTAGAGCTGCATGTATTTCCTAGGTTCAAGAAGCCGATGTTGTGGATGACGCGTTGCCATTACTTACCATATTCTTGTGGAAACTGGGTATAAATCCCCGAGAGGAAGCCTTGACGTAATGAAAGAGCTTGATATATGTATATCATGAATTGAACCAATTGATAGGAATAAAGTAAATTAAATACATTTCTCAGGTCATCTTATAATGAGTCCTCACTATCTATCAAATGCCTTGGGCCGTTGCTCTTCAAGCTCAATATACTCATCACTTATCTCGGATCTCGAAGGGACCTCCCTGACGGTTCGTCCAAACTCTGTCACCGAGCTGTCATCATTCAGGACCCTAAATGGGTTGGGCTCCCTATTAGTACTCCTCTTCACATTATCCGTCGTGGCAGTGCCTGTAGTCCTGAATCTGTTGGGATTTGCTGGAGTACCATAAGACGTCATCTTGAACGTCTTGGGCATCAGTGGACGCAGGCCAGGGAGACATGCGCAGATAATCCCTGCCACTGGCTCGACGCCTGCAAGGGACCACAAAGTTCCCTCATCGTAGAGATTCTTCCATTGGTAGCCATGTGTGAAGACAACACGAGCAAGAGCAATGAAACAGGTGCTAGTTATGCATTATTAATGAAGTTTCGCTGGATAGGAGTCGATCGGTAGAGGGCATGCTTGATGTGTTAGGGGTAAAGGTCACTTACATGAACCCAAAGCAAAAGGAGATGATGATACCGATCTTTTTTCCGCGGTTCATATTCAGCCCCCAGATTGACTTGAGTGGGAGTACAAATATCAAGAAGTCAGTAAAAACTGTCAAACTGTCATAGGCGATGTTGATGTTTTGCATGGCAAGGAACTGCTCAGCCGTGGCATTGCCCCAAGCCCACCACTTCTCAATCGGCCGTACGGCGGCGAGATAACCGATAAAGCTTCCCATGAAGCACGCAAAGGTTATGCCCGACGCCACGTATATTATTATATTCATCGGGCCATTGTGGCCTGTGAAAAGACGATGATAGAGGAAAAGGATCGAGGCTTTGCAGGAGTAGACTGCAAATACGAGGACGATGTTATTGGCATAACCAATCTAATAATACATAGCTTGATTAGACAATGAAGTATTGGAATTGTAATCGTACGAAGCGTACCTGATCGTGGATCAACGAGACGTCGGTTGGCTCTGTAGTACTGGTGTATGGGTATCCGGGAATTCCAATGCCTCCGTACATAAGCACTGGTAACGAGACACTTGTTAGCCATTGAGCTTCGGCGGAGCTTTTTGTCTCGAATGTATGGAGAAGAAGAGAAGACCCACTCAGCAGAAGAAAGACAAAAAGGAGAGTGGTGAAGAACTGCCAAACTGTCAGAAGATAGTCATTATAATAAATGTTTCGTGGGACCAGTTGACATACAGCAGATGCTATGATCATCCAGTCTGTCCAGCCATACACGCCTCTCGTCTTGGACTTTGCGTAAAACCGAAGCCCAACTGTAATATTCGACAGCATAGGCAGGATCACCCAAGTCGCGATCAGCTCCCGCTGCCGAGGCAGATAGATGGGGAAAGCTTGGACCATATTCGGTAACTGTCTCAGATCAAAAGTTCATGAAGGAAGGGAGAGAAATGACGAAGGATGCAGATCATTTGAACAAAAGTTCCACGGACATATATGTAGAGATATTTGTTAATTCCCAGTTGAGAGTAAACTGGCTGAGCCATTTCAATTCGAGTAAAGTGACCTCCATTTCTCGAGTCAGTCCACGCCCGTTATCGCTAGTGTGGCGTTTTGAGGAGAGAGTAGCATGACTAGTGTTTGCAATTTAGCTTTGCACTATGCAGCAGGTGAAGGAAGCGAGCGATATTTAATTTAGAGTCGATTGGCCATGTCTTTATAGCCTGGACCACTTCCAGCTCTTGACTGTCCCCCGGGGGCTGCAAATGACTGAGGTCAGCTGCTTTTACATTGGCTTTGCCGGATACCGAACGGTGCGACAAATATTATTTCACGAGGGGGCCATCGTACCATTTGTGTGGCATCCCTTGCGCAACGTCTGCCCCAACTGGCTTCCAGAATACTGCCAGCCAGTGAAGACTGTGATGTGGCTGGTCTGAGGGAAGCTCGCAACCTACCAACACGGCTCGGGCGTTGCTTAGCGTTGATGTGTAACCCGAACACTTTGTCGTTATTCGCGAGACACTTGCTATTGACGCAGGCTAAGCTTGGTGTCTTCAGCATGTTTGGACTAATGCAAACTACCGTTGTGAGGCTTGGTTAGACAACCAAACTATTGCAGCCAAGTGAATGGCCTCATTGACAGAAATGGGCCAGTCCCAATGGGATCAGGAGCGGTAGGGGTCTTCGGTTGGCTCCGATAGATAGATGCATGATATGATAATATGAATCCTGATTCTCGCTTCTCTTCGAAGGTTTCTTAAGAACCTGGTTATCTCAGTGCTCTTGTTCGTTGGTACCAAACGCCTTATACTGAAGAGATAAGGGACGCCCCGCCCCACCGCGGCATTCACGGCATTGTATCCTAGTGTCACTCGGACCCTCTCGCAATTCGCAACGAGTAATTCGTGATGCTATTCGTTCTGGTTTGTTGAATCAGTCCACGCCGTCTTCCAGGGCTGAATTTAGCCTTGGCCTGGAACAATAGCATAAGGGGAAAACTCCATATTTGACACTTGCAAGAGTCAGGGCCCAAAGACTACCCGAATACCTGGGACAACACTGAACTGGAGCAGGGCTAGCCTTACCTTTAACGGATTTGGAGGACCTCGAAGGAAATGAGGCTCAAGCCACATTCGCTTACATGACCAATGGAAGAGAGTGCAAAAGGAAGAGGCCTGACGCTTCAAACATGCGTATTCCCATATCTATTGTTAGCTGGATGGAGTTTTTAAACACGCTGCATATTGTTAAAATAACGCCATGCTTACTTGACACTTTAGGTTAAAGCATGGCAATTTAACATTGACTCTAAAGCATATTACTTAAAACAGCATAAATAGGATATGCTTAAGAAGATTTTTAGCATTACAGGGGGTAGTCTTTCTTAGTGCAGCGCTATGTTACTTTAGTTCTGTTAATTCTGTTTATTCCGCTTATTCCGCTGTCTCAAAACAGCGACAAGATCCCTTTGTCTTTCTACAGAGTGTTCTCCCTAAAATTATATAAACCTCTTTAGTAACAGATAAGTAGCCAGTTATTTAAATAATTAGAGCACTGTAATAGATTAAGATAATAATGGTGGAGAATTTCTTTGAGAGCTAGATAATCAATTATACCAACTGCCGAAAGTCATGCACAACCAGCAAGAACAAAAGCAAAACAATCTTGCCAAGTCACGCCAAGCACCAGCATGCCCACTGAGAGAATTCCACGGCAGATAACTGCCGAATATCATTGTACCGGTAGTCATATACTCTGTAGATCATTGGATTTAAATGGTGTGTTGCCCCCTCAGCAAGTCTATATGCCTATGTTTCGTCAGGTCCATGCTATCTGAGAGGATACCTAATATACGTCAGTCATTCCTAGGCTGCGCCTGTCCGCGACCGGTTCGTTATTATGTCTGATCTCAGTTCCATGAGTCCTGGCTCTAAATAATAAAGACTACAAGCCTGTTTATCATTGCCCCGAGCCTGGCTGCAAGCTTGTATTCGATTCAAGTTGCAGGTTGTAGAAGCTATAGGGTCGGTAGTTGAGTATTAGAGCTTGCACTAATTGATACGGCAAGTGATCACATCGCGACGTATTCTGCAGTTTTGACGCCGGCGATGCAGGCTGGAATTCAGTCGAATGCCATTCAGAGCACCAAGGTCCCAGTACGCCTCGGGAGTTGCGATATGATGAAGTTGAGAATATCGTCTGCCATGCTTCGGCACTCAAAACGGTGGTGGATACTAACGTTAATACGGAGCCTACAGTTCCGATAACGTATCACCTGAGGATAGAAAGGGAGTTCGCCGAGTTTATTGCCTGTGCCCAATCGGACAATACTTCAATCGATGCAGGTCAATTCTGGATAACTGCGTCTCCCTCGAGCTTCCCAAAGCGCTCAAGATTATCCCGATAATCATCAATCTCACCGACGTGCAGCTGTCAAGGGTGGCCTAATCTCTTACCGTTTCGAGCAGTTAACTAGCAACTTTTTGACGGCGAGACAATTGAACGAATCAAGTGTCAGCATCTGAGCCTCTTATCTCCAAACCATGATCACAAGCTTTCGGTTTGGCCAGGGTTCTCCGCACGGGAATGATAACGGTGGATCCTTATCCTGTGAAAACGGAGCGTAGTCGGAGGGCGTAAACGGAAATCCTGCTGGTTCATCGAATGAGATTGGAGGATTTCTTCCCCGCGATTGAATCGAGTTAGCTTCGGCCGATATTGATGGCTGTTGATCTGACAGCATGTGCTGGAACCGTTATGGCCGGAATGGATGGACCAGAAGTTTATAATCGGGACAGTTCCCAGGCATTCTCTCCATCCTTCGCAGATATCTCATCCATTTTTATCTTCTTGGCGTATCTGATACCATGGATGTCAAACCGACCACCAATCTCGATGACTACCAACTCGCTCAGCTGGGCCATTCCCAGTCCTTCAAGCGCAACTTCAGTCGTTGGACAATGCTGGGTTTAGCTTTTGCCATCCTCAACTCTTGGACTGCTCTTGCAGCATCGCTTTCGCTCGCTCTACCATCAGGAGGACCTGTCGCTGTTATCTGGGGACTGGTCACAGCTGGTATCTGCAATCTCTCGCTTGCTGCAAGTCTAGCTGAATTTCTGTCAGCACAGCCAACTTCTGGTGGGCAGTATCATTGGGTTGCCACCATTGCCCCCAAGTCTTTGAAGATCCCCCTGTCTTGGATCACGGGTTGGATCAACCTCAGCGGCTGGGCCTGTCTGGTTGCGACCAACTGTTCCTTGTCGAGCACTCTCATCATCAACATCATCTCTCTCCAAAACCCCAGCTATGAGTTCCAGAGATGGCACCAATTCCTCATCTATCTCGGTATCGCCTTTATCGCCTTCGCAACCAATGCTTTTCTTCATTCGCTCCTCCCTCGCATCAATGGCCTTGCTCTTGTATGGAGTATCGCCGGTTTCTTCATTATCTCCATTACAGTGCTTGCGTGCGCTGCGCCCGAATATGCTACCGCCGACTACGTATTCGCTACCTTTATCAACACAACTGGTTGGCCAGATGGTATCGCCTGGCTCCTTGGTCTCTTGCAGGGAGGACTTGGACTTACAGGGTTTGATGCCGTTGCTCACATGATTGAAGAAATTCCCAATGCAGCCAGCGAGGGCCCCAAGATTATGCTATACTGTCAGTATATCGGCATCTCGACTGGATTCCTGTTTCTCATTGTGGTGCTATTCGTGTCTGGTGGTATCAAGAACGCTGATACCATCATTGGATCAACGGCTGGTCCCCTTCTTGAGATCTTCTACTTGGCCACCAACAGCAAAGTCGGAGCCATTTGCTTGCTTATGTTTCCTCTCCTCTGCTTGGTATTTGCTGCCATCGCAGTCATGACCACTTCGTCACGTATGATGTTCGCGTTCGCAAGAGACGGTGGACTTCCAGCATCACGCATCTGGTGGAAGGTTCACCCCAAGCTCGGTGTACCCATGAACGCCCTGTATCTCAATGTTGTGATTGTGGTCATCTTTGGCTGCATCTACCTCGGTTCTACTGTCGCCTTTAATGCCATCGTAGCGTCTTCTGTGGTTGCTCTTGGCCTCAGTTATGGCATTCCCATCGCTCTGCACCTTGCGAGTGGCCGGACTCAATTGCCAGAAGGAGCTTTCAAGCTGCCCAACTGGCTTGGATGGACAACAAACATCATTGGATTGGTGTACACTATTGTTACTACGGTGCTCTTTCTATTCCCTCCAGCGTTGCCTGTTAGTGGAACTACGATGAACTACTGTGTTGTTGCATTTGGTGTCATCGTGGTCATATCAGCCATTCAGTGGGTTGTGGATGGAAGAAAGAACTTTGAAGGACCTCGAATCACGATAGGCGAACATGAGATGACAGAGAGAGATATTGAGGAATAATGGACTGCATAATTTAGGTCATTCTGCAGTGATCTGACAGTCACTGGTCACTAGAGGGACACAAAAAAGCTAGTGTTGCGTAATAATCATGTTATTCAGTACCATATCATAATCCATATTGTCAACTCCACAGCTACACCAATTTCTTCCCCTTCAACCCAAACTCCATCCCGTAATCTGACATGAGGATAGATTCTGCACAGGCCCGAGGCTGCAAAGATCAAGCCTTCTCGGTTTGGTGAACAGCGCTGTCCGCCTCCTCGAAAGAGTCAATCTTGTAAGAGCTGAACTTGCGTGCTGAGACACCCTTGGCGAAGAGAATGTCAAGCTCCTCAAAGGTGCGGTTTCGGGTCTCAGGAAGACGGAAATAGCCCCAGACGAAGACGATGAAAGCAGTGCTTCCCCAGATGAATCCGGTGTAACCTCGAAGGTTCCACTGAGTAGGGTTCATGAAGTAAGGCTGAAGAACACCAGCGACAACTCCAGTGATGGCATAACCGTTGCGGGCGAGGCAGATGGTCTTCTGTCTGAGCCTGGTTGAGCCCATCTCAGCAGGAAGAGCCCAGCCGAGCTGACCAGCGGACAACTGGAAGACAAAGGTCCAGACCAGAGTGAGGACAGCTTGGGTCATGGCGATTGAATGGTTCTCGGTTCGGGTGTTGAGAGCGCCAATGACGAAGAGGACAAGGGCCATAGTGAACATACCATAAAGGTAGGCTGTTCGTCTTCCAACGTAAGGCATGACACAGAACCAAGATACCAAAGTAGCAAAGAGGGCCATTCCGTTTCCGCCAACGTTGAGATGGTAGGTAGTGTTGGAGTCGAGGCCGATCTGTTGGAAGAAGTAGGTCGAGTTGTAGGCAAAGTTGAGACCAGAAAGAATCTGACCAGCGAAGACAACGATGGCAATCTCGGTTCGTCGGAGCTCGAAGCCCTTGAAGCAGTCACGGTATGAGGTGCCGACGGAAAGCTGCTCTTCGAGGCTATTGGTATAAACGATAAGGCCAAGAGCATCGCGGAGCTCAGCGTCGGTAGCACTAGGTCGGAGTCGGGCGAGGCTCTTGAGGGCGTCGTCGTGTCGTCCAATTCGAACAAGATGCCAGGGAGTGTCGGGAGCAAAGCAGAGAATAGGCACCAGGATAACAGGCCAGAACCATTGGAGCGCAAAGGGAATGCGATACGCCCAAGGAGCAGGAGTGTTGACAAGACCAGCCATGACGCCAGCAGAGATGAGCTGCCCGATGATGAAGCACATGTTGGTCCAACTGGTCATATAAACTCGAAGCGACATGGGAAGAACTTCGGAGGCATAGGCTGGCGCAGTCGTAGCAAAGACACCCCAGGGAAAACCGCAGAGGATCTGTCCGACGAGGAGGACTTTGGTGTCGGGAGCGAAGAAGACAATGAAGATGAAGCAGCTGAGAGAGATCAAGGAGCCGATGAGGACCTTGATGTGACCATATTTGGTGACGAGGTAACCGTTGAGAAGAGTTCCAAAGAAGGAACCAACTCCTGCAGCGTTACCGAGGCCAGCTTGCCAAGGAGCAGAGAGCTGATAGTTGTTGGTCTCTTCGTTCCAATGGCCGTACTTCTTGGCAAAGGCGGGATAAGCATAAAAGTTGGAGAGGAGGTTGGTATCGTAGCCCTCCATGATGACGCACATGGAGACGACGAGACACCAGACAACAGTCCAGGGATACTTGCGAACGGCTTCGAGGGGAGGGAGGTCATGCTCAGCCTGGGCACCGAGACGAGCCTGGTCGGTGGTATCGTGGCCAACCGTCTTTGCCACCGAAGCTTCGACATCGTAGCTCTCGGCGTGTGAAACCGAAGGGTTGATGATCTCTTTGCCCATTGTGATTGAGAGTTTGATGATTGTGATAGAAGAATGAGCTGGTGAGTGTCTGATGGAGTAGATCTCGAATTGATCAGCAACGCATCTTGAGGTTATATACTGGAGCAATTGAATCCTCCTGGCGTGTCTATCCCAATCGCTTTTGTTCCCAAGTCCCCATGGGGAACCGAAAACCGCCCCATGGGGGTTGATGTTACAGTCCGAACATTACCCCTTTGGGCATAGCCCCTCACTTGAAGAATGCTTAGCCCGGGGCCCATCGTGACCTCGAGAATGGTCAGTTTGTGGTGGATACCCCTCATCGCTTGATATATCGGACCGAGAGTCACGAGAAATGACGCTGGCAAAAGAATTGGATCTGCCGACTATATCTCCATTAAGCATTCAACAGCCCCGGACCTAGAGCAACATGGCGACTATCCCGGTAAAGCGCGGCCAGGTCTGTGACAACTGCCGATTCCGCAAGGTCAAGTGTGATCGCGGCCTGCCCTGTAAGAACTGTCACATCGGAGACCTCCGTTGCCAGTATCGCCACAGCATTCGGAGGAAGGGCCCAAAGCAGGGTCAAGGGAGACGGCAGACGCAGCTGAGACAGGGTCTGGGCATTGATGAGTATCAGTTCCAGATACTCACCTCTGAAGCGCCGCCTGGATCAACCAGCAACGCCAACGCCAGCAGCACTCAAGATGCCCCAACAGACGCTCAACTCAACGCTCAGTCATTCTCATCTCCACCGACAAACATCGACCCTGTTTCACAACCAGAGCCAGAACCGGAATCAGATTCGACAACACCACCCAATGACGAAACTATCAATACCGGAGACCTCTGCAAACGCATGTCTCTATCACTCGTTGCTCACATACGACTCTTCCAGAGATTTCTCTACCCTATCATGCCAGTCGTCGACGACGATATCCTCGCCGATGCAGCTCGACTAGATGACCTCCCGCCATCGAGATACGCTCTAATCCTTGCAATATGTGCTGCAACAAGAATGCAACTCCGACTGGACAAGCGGATCGACAACTGCGAGAATGATCTTAATGCTGAGATCCCATCCGAGCCACGCTTGACAGGAGACATGCTCGTCAATCTTGCTGAGAACTCACTCCGCCAATACAGCGTGATAGATGATACCACCCTCGACTCAGTACTCGTCTCCTTCTTCCTATTTGCAAGCTATGGGAATCTCAACGATCCGCGTCACGCCTGGTTCTATCTCAACCAGAGCATCACCCTCGCGCAGTCACTTGACCTGACAAAAGAGTCTGGCTACTATGGTCTACCTGCTGAGCAACGTGAGAAGAGACGACGCGTCTTTTGGCTTCTCTTTGTTACAGAAAGGTGAGTCCGTCCACGCATACCTTACCCTCAAGACTAAAGCGTTCCAGAACCTTTGCCCTCCAGCACAGAAGATCCGTCATGCTCCGAAGCACAGTCAACAAGCCTCAGATCGTCGACTCAAATTGCCCGGTAGTGATGCACGATTTTATAAATCACATTCGTCTCTTCGAATCCCTTCCATATTCTCTGTACGAATGGCAGCCCGAGGGTGACGATCAACGCTTCGACGACTTGAAGCTTGTACATACCATAAACGAGAAGCTCTGCAGCGTGCAGCCAGACCAGTCGATTATTGAGAGCCAACGGTTCGATACACTCATCACTCAGCAGTGGCTTCGGATATCCATGTGGAGGATCGCCTTTGGTCAGAATCCTTCGTCGGCGTCTGGCTTTGGACTGCTTCTCCCGCCCTCGCTTCCAATGGATGCAGGAAAGATCATCATGTCGGCCTTGGGGTCTGTTGGAACCAAATCAAAAGACTGCCATGGCATCGGAATGGTAAGACTCACCCGAGTTTCTGACTGTCCATGGAACGAATACTGACTCTTGTCTAGGAACAAAAGCTCTTTGACGTCGGCGTCAGTCTCGCAGATACCGCTCAACTCCCCGGCTGGACATATTCTGCACTCGAGAATGGCCCTCGTGACTTACTCTCCGTCGTGATTCATGCTCTATCAGCCGTTCGAGGTGCTCAATCTCACTTATTGCCCAATCTTCTCAAGCACTCGGAGACATTATTCGCTCTTGCAGATCCCAACGCGCATCTCGATCTCCAATGGGATATGCAAGATGCAGGAAATGATGAGAGGCTAGCAATTGTTGAGGAGTTATCGCCCGAAGATGAACAACCCGTGGATCCGTTGGGTTGGGTTCCAGATGGAAATCTCGATCTGCTGGACTTGAGTACGCCCGTGGTGACGACGACTTGGGAGGATGCGACGATATCGTGTGGACAATTTGATCCCGAGATTGGACTTTCTTTTAACTGATCTGGAAAAGTGTTCTTCGTGTTGACAATCTATCTAAATATTTGTGCTGGGAGTTTTCCATTGTGCGTCAACAATTTGGGGTCCTGGATATCTTTACATAACTTTTGTCTGGTTCATTTATACCCTCTCTAGCAGAACAACCTTGCTATCATAATCTGTACCAAATCGAAATTGAATTCCTCCATTCATTAATGTCGCGCCCGAGTAGGTCTCCCCACCGTCAAGTTTATATCTCGCAACTGGGTCAAGTCCAGCGAGTCGAAGCAGCGGATAGTTGAGAACAGTTGTGGCTCTGATCTGGAACGCGAACAAGACAGCTTGGCTTCCATCCTCGGATACAAAGATGGCCGCGGGGAAGTTGGAATCCTCGGGCAACACCAACCGCCACATGTCTCCCTTAATGATGATGGGGTTGATCTTCTCTGCGAGCTTGATGAGATCTGGGATCTGTGCCTTGTCTTCCTCAGGCGTATGGTCAGGGTTCAGCTCGAAGCCGAATGAGCCGCCCATCATGGCGACGTGAGCTCTGAAGCTCATTGGGATTGAGCGGCCAGTCACATCATTTGGTGCAGAGCAGACATGTGCACCCATCGTCGAAGGCGGGTAGACCAATGATGTACCAAACTGAATGTGAATGCGGTCGAAAGCGTCCATGTTGTCCGAAGTCCAAACCTGCGGGAAGTATTGCAAGATGCCAGGATCGAAGCGACCTCCACCAGATGCGCAACCCTCCCAAAGGACATCGGGAAATCGGGCAGTCAGCACGTCAAAAACATGGTAGATTCCGAGCATGTATGCGTGGTGGTTATCTGGCGTAGGGCTTTCGTGCATCGCTCGGTTGTTGTCCCACTTGACATAGCTGACGGGTACAGTCTCTAAGATCTTGGATACTGAGCTGATGATAAAGTCCTGCACTTCTGGGAGGGCCGCGTTCAAGACCAGCTGCTGGCGAGTTTCGCTGCGAGCGTGCTCTCCAGCGCTCAAAACCCACTCAGGATGCTGTTCATATAGCTCAGACTTCTGGTTGACCATCTCAGGTTCGAACCACAGTCCAAACTGCAGCTTCTCATCTGAGTCCTTAACCTGCAACTTGGTGATGTCCTTAGCAAGAGAGTCCAAGCCACTGGGGAACCTCTTGGGATTTGCAACCCAGTCGCCAAGTCCAGCATGGTCATTGATGCGAGGATGCTTGTCGCCAAACCATCCATCGTCGAGCACAAAGAGCTTGGCACCCAGCTTTGCAGACTCTTGCGCCAGCTTGAAGATGGTCTTGTCGTCAAAGTCAAAGTAGAGACCTTCCCAACTGTTCAACAAAACAGGTCTCGTTTCAGAGACAAACTTGCTTCGGATGAGGTTATGGCGATACAGACGATGGAACTTTCGTGACATCTCGCCAATGCCGAGGTTAGAAAAGACGGAAACGCATTCTGGTGATTGCAGTGACTCGCCCGATCTCAAGGGCCAGGACAGTTGGCATGGGTTCATCCCGACGAGCGCACGAGTAAGTCCCTGATGACTCTTCTCAACTTCGACGCTGAAGGAGCCGGTATAAACGAGAGAGAAACCCCAAGCTTCGCCGTGGGACTCGGTTGTTGTTGGGGAGACCATTGATAAGAATGGGTTATGGTAGTGAGATGAGTAGCCGGTAGTACTCCCAAATCTATACCAGTATTAGCCACAGAAACTCTGATTCAAGACTATAGCATACCCTTGAAGCCCATACTCGACCTTTCGGCGAGTTCTGTTGCATTCTCTGGTCCATTCGCCCTGCAACTGAAGCATCTCGTAATTCTCATGAGGAAAGTCAACGCTGAAGCTGGACAGCTTCTCAACAGTAATGACATCATCGCTCTTGTTGATAATCTTGACGTTCCGTACAATAGCATCAAAAGTGGGAAAGATTGAGTATGACAAGTCTGCGCCGACAGAGCTATACTCGTCGTAGAGATGTATAGTCAGTGTTGACACATCGTCATCTGAGCCAAATGTGCTGGGCAGTTTCTCAATCGCAGGTTTACCCTTGACGACCGTATGAGATTTGTACTTGAAGTTGCAAACTGTGAAGCCCTTGGCGTGCTTGATGTGTACAGCTGGAGTGCGGAAATCTCCACGACCAAGATCTGGGAATTCACGGCGGAGATGAGCTTGAGTTGACCATCCTCCGCCGTTGGACATGATCTGAGCAATGGGATTTTCTGTCACGCGATCGCCGAAGTGATCGAGCAGAAGATCACCAGTCGCTGGATCAACGTGAAAGCGGTACGAGACATTTTTGCCGTTGAGCGCAAATGAAGTGCCGTCCACGACGATTGCTGAGATTGTCAGTGCTGATAACGAAGATAAGCTGGGAAAACATACGGTCGGCTTTGGGAGCTGGTGTTGTTGCCTGAAGAAGAGTCATTGTAAAGATGCAATGGACGCTATAACAGAGACAGAGGAAGAAAGAGGCGAGTCTCGAAGATGTTTACAGGCTTTCAACAGAAAGTATTCGACTCGGGTTTAAATACAATAATTGTTCTTGTCATCAGCAGTCATTGACAGGATTCCGAGCATTTCCCCATGGGGCTAATCAACCTCCGATCAAGGAGCGGGGGTGGTGAGACAAAGTCGTACTAGCCTACATTAATCGAGCATATCTTATGCAGAGTCTGCATAATATTATGCACTATCGAGCCATTTTACCCTGCACGCGTCCTTGGTTTTACCCAGACGTTGAAATCAAGCGGCTTGACAAACCAGTAATTCTGTGTTTTCCATTCATTTTGGAGTAGATTATCATGCAAAGTAAACTCAAAGTCTCGAACTAAAGCAGGAATGAGTTTGCACATTTCAAGCATGGAAATATGACGGCCGATACAGGTTCGAGAGCCGAGACCAAACTAAAAAAAAGTTTTGTCAGTGAAACGTCAACCATAAAACAGACAGATGCCCAAGTCGATATGCCACCAACTAAATTGGATCAGCTTGCAAAGATTAAAGGGAAAACTTACAGGCATCCAGAAGCGGTTCATCAAAGCTAAACGCTCGTCATCATCTTGCAGCCACCTCTCAGGCGAGAATGAATCTGCATCCTGTCCAAAGATGCCGCGGTCCATGTGCGCAACCCAGGTATTGATTCCAACAATACTACCCTCCGGGAAGAAACGACCTGAAATGGTAGCACCACCCTTGGGCACTACACGCTCTAGGGGTAGTCCAGTGGCTGGATGTAACCGCAAGGCTTCTTTAATAACCGCCTGCAGGTACGGCATTGCCTGGCTCTCTTTGTAAGTGACATACGTGGATAGCTGATCATTGGCAGTGAATGTGTCAACCTCTTCTCGTAGCTTGTCCATGCACGAGGGGTTCTTGAGAAGATAGTACAGCACAGCTGAGAGGCTGATACTCGTTGTGTCAGATCCCGCGATCATATTGGTAAGACATCCGGTTATGACATGGGACGAGGTGAAAGCATCCGGCTTTGAGGTATTCTTAGCAAAGAACTTCATAAGAAAAGACTGTGTTGAGGTGTCGCTGTGGTCCAGGATCACAGCTTTGGGATTTGACTGTGCTTCACTGATCCTCGCCTTGGTGAATGCCGTGACATAAGCTGCACCTTGTCCTTTACTCCCTGCAAGGAAGTTCATGATCGGAACAATGATGTTGTGGAGGGTAGGAAAGACGATGCCAACCAATGTTGAGTAACTAAGTATCTCTCCCAAGGCGTGGGTGACATTACCCACGTCCTCTCCTTTATCGAGGAAGCCCAGACGCTTTCCATATGTGATCATACCAATCACGTCGAAAGCATAACATTGGAGCCAATGATGCATATCGACCGCTTGGCCTGCAGCACAGAGTTCTGACAGGCGCCTCTTCAATAGCTCAGCACACTCGTCAACAAAGGTTTCGTAGTTGACCAAGGAAGACACCGAATAAGTGGACTGATATTGCTTTCGATCGTGTGCATGCTTGGTCAATGATCTCTCATTGAACAAATTGTTATCTCCAGGATTGCCCCAAGGTATGTACCATGGAGACTTGGGGAACGAAGAACCCAGACCATAGATGACTTTAACTGCCTCGAGGTCACTGAAGCTGTAGCGGTTGGGTGCATAGCGAACGACAGAGCCTGAGGCGTTAATGACAACGAAATAACGCAGGGGGACACGCTTATATACCGTATTTCTTGTGTAAGTCACGGTTAACATGCTCAAAAGCACCTTGCCAAACCTTCCAGGTATACCAACCGAGTGTCCATCGAGCGGCACTAGGGCCTTGAACGGACCTCAGACTTGAGCGCAAATGCCAAAAGAGGATCAAGACTGCTTTGAGGAGGAGCAGCGACACCAATGGGAATGCAACGAGGTAGATATTCATTTTGCTGCTGAGATCCAGGTACGAAATGCTGACCTAGACCGCATAGGCACACGAGAGCAGCGACCACCCGCCCTTGAAGTATGCAAAACTTGAAGAGGGGATCATGGTGATACACCGTTGTTCGCCGTCCCCATATCTTGTAATTTCGGGAAATCAGGTCGGTAAGTAGGCAAATTCCCCGCGTTTCAATCCATTAGCGGGTTGTTAACTGCAGATCCGGAGATCTAGTGCATGCCAATGCCGAGTGCAACGATGGATTATGATTGATGTTAGTAGAGAAGTACTTTGCTACTCCTAGCTTGCCTCAAGAATACATAAACGACTAACCCACTTATGTAAGCGGCCTTTCGGGCGGCATTGATTAACCCATGGCCCACGTTAGACAGTATGGCCCCGGTGTTTTACACCTTGGCAGCAGGCTTGTATAAGGCATTCTGGCCGGAAGAGTCATACCGCATCAACTAATGAAATTCGGTGAATACATGCTAGCCTGCTTACAGCTTTGCAATTGGTCAGGGTACAAATGAGGAACTGACATCTTGTTGATTTTCATCAGTTGATGCGGTGGCTCGGTCTATTTGTGGCCTCTTACAGTGCTCGGATTTATGTCTGGGGGACTTTTATAAACCCTTATAAGTTATAGTTCTTTTAAGACCATATTGCTATCTTGTTATAATACAGGACGTTCCATTTATAACCAGATGACACTTGTTCTTCCTTTGATACAATCCAGGTTTAATTCTCTTGTCTGAACCAATATCTACCAAGAAATACCAAAGATGGGTTCCCTAGGAGTAAACCGTGCCCTCTGGCTCTCCTCATACTCAAAGCCCCTCGAGATTATAGAGTTACCTATCCCAGAGGCTACTATGGGCACAGTTATAGTCAAAATCCTTGCAGCGCCTATTGCTCCCTATACCCATGTGCTTCACACCGGCCAGCTTCCGCAGATGAATGTCCAGCCACCTTATGTCCCAAATGCCAACGCCATTGGACGCATCCACGCCGTTGGCCCAGACGCCGTACTTGCCAAGCCCGGCGATCTCGTCTATGTCGACTCCACTGCCCGCGCTCGCGATGATCCCGACAACGTCATGATCATGATCGGGCACCTAGGCGGTGCAGGCAATGGAGGCCAGAAGCTTATGAAGGCGTGGCGAGACGGCTCGTTGCAGCAGTACCAGAAAGTTCCACTCGAAAACATCTACCCCTTGGACGAGCACCGCCTGATTGGCGAGCTGGGCTATGACCCTGCTGAGCTGCTCTCTATTGCGTACTATTGTGTGTCCGCCGGGTCGTTACTCGAGGCTGCTGATCTCAAAGCCGGTGAAACCGTCATCGTAGGGCCATCAGGTGGCAACTTTGGCGGTCTGGCCGTCGAGATCGCCCTTACTATCGGCTGCAATGTTGTTGCTCTTGGCCGTAGTACAAGCAAGCTAGCAGAAATGCAAAAAAAGCTCAACGGTAACCCGCGCCTCAGGACAGTGGTCATGACGGGCGATAGCGCTGCCGATACGGCTTCAATCCTGGCCGCAACTCCTAAAGGCGCCGGTGCCGAGGTGTATAACGACTGGTCGCCTGGCGAGCTGAAGAACCCGCCCTTCCTTAACGCCGCTCTGTGCGCCTTGAAGCATGAGGGCCGGATGATCCTTAGTGGCGGAGCTAGCGAGACGTTGACAGTCCCGTATGCAGAGCTCGTCTTTAGGAATTTGAAGTTGCAAGGCAAGTGGATGTGTGGGCGGTCGACCATGTTGAAGCTGATTAGGATAATTGAGGGTGGCCAGCTAAGAGTTGGGAGAGAGAGCGGCAGCGAAATTAGAGTTTTTACTCTTGATGAGCATAATGATGCAACTTCATTTGCGCGAGAGAATGGCGGCTGGAGGAAGTATACTGTTGTTGCACCTAATACTTGGCAATAGTTTTAGGAAGTCTAATAACTCCATGTTGGCTTATGTATAGGATTTAAAGAAGCTCATTTAGCTAGCTTTATTATATATAAATATAAAATACAGCCCGGTTTTTAACTTAAATGCATTTTATTATAAACTTTAACAGTAAATATAGTTAATGCTTTCTGAATGATAATTATAATTGATTTCATTATATATACACTTTCCTACTCCTGGCTTGCTTTAAGAATACATGAACCAATGACTTACTTGTCCCTCTCCTCAGTGTCACTCACGAATGAACTGCTCAAGCACTGATATCTCCATACAGCGCAGACTGGCACTGGGGCTTAATAATAAATGACCCGAGCACGGCGAGTGGGCATCTTGCTGGGTACCATATCACCCGTACGCTCAAGAACATCCTCCTCATCTCCTCCAACCTGAGCTCCAAGAGTACCCGCATCCTGGGTCAGCTGCCCATCAATATTATCTCCATCAGTCTGAACAAGGTACGCAGCTTTGTCTTGTCCAAAGGCGTGCAGATCAGTAGAGGCGCCGTTGGCAATCTTATCAGCCTGTCTCTTGACTTTTGGTGGTGGAGGAGGTGGGTTGCTGGTGCTGCCTCCCCCTGCAGTGGTAGTTTTGCCCCCGATGAGAGTGGCAGCGTTGTCTTCTGCGTTTTCAACACCATAGCCGACACCGTTATCGGTGCCGGTGAAGACGGAGTCGAAGAAGCTGCCTTCGCCCGCGAGCTGACGAGGTTTCATGGTTGGGGCACTGATGGTTGCGCTGGCGGCTGCTAGAATAATGAGAAGCTTGGTGAGCTGAGTCATTGTTGGCAATGTCAGATGTTTATAGATAGGTAGTTAAATATGATAGAGTGGTTAACTTGTGACTGTTCTGTGTCCGCGCTGAAGGAGATTGGAGTTAATGTGTCTGAATGGAGGACAAGAAAGAGGTCACTGAAGCCGACAATCTGCTTTCTTTTATATCTTATCACTTCTCTGACGTCTTCATAGTCAAGCAGATTGGTCACCCTTCACATGTCCACTACCCACCAGCCACATTCGTCACGTTTGTTAAAATGCTCTCATAGTAGTGGATTGACCAGACGGCTCAAGGATCCGAAATATCGCGCTGTAGAAGGATCAAAGCTGCCGTATGACGTCGAGAAGCAACCGAACGATGCGGCTCCCAAATGGCAAAAGGTGTCAGCTGCGTCATATCGGGGATGTCGCTGTCATATCCCGTCGAAGAACAGTCGTCACTGGTGGCAAATCATATATGCACAATTACACATGGGGCCAACTAGCTATCCCTAGCACTTAGGCTTTAAGCATATGGTTGTCTGGAATGTGACGCCAGGGGTCACAAAACAGGGGACCAGTCAACCATATGCTTTCTATTCCAACAGCTGAGCTCTTCTCGAGATTGATGCAGTTGAACTGAATGATAACTCCATGAGCAACCGGCTTTGACTAGCAACCGGTAAACACTCCATGGTCCCAAATAATGACACAACCATATTCTGAAGAATAGGAAACACGCAGCCAGCAAGGGGACAGCTGAGGGTGGAGGCATAGAGCCACCTACGACAACTGGAAGACCCTTGGTCCCCTGGTAATCATGCCCTATCTCGTATCGTAGCCGTGATTCCCGAAGCCACATCATCACAACCAAGGGGCCTAACCGTTATCGCAAACGGGTTTGGATCTACTGAAACCTTGTTCCTTGACTTATTTCGCAGTAGAATACTTGCTGGAGCATATGATTGGGCACCGTCAGCTGAGATGCGCTAATATCTGTGCCGAAGATCCGCGTCCCGGCGATCAGGTCGGTGGCGCTAAATAAGCTCTTTCATCAATGACTAACTATGGAATTAGGAACCTGAGGTCCCAAGTACCTTAACGCAGTTGAGAGGGCTGACTACATTCCCACTAGTGACTGCGACCTTGAATCATATCATAGCACTGGAGGGCTATTGCTGCTGCATCCGAGCTTGGCGCCCTCCTCCGCTGACGATCATCGTGCCATTCCTGCAGGTAACATCAACAGCCCGTGACTGGAGAACAAAGATATGGCAGATATGTTGCAAGCAGTAGCGGCCCAAGTCGTGGGTGTCCGACTTCAGAATGCGTTGAACGGGTTTGACGAGACTCTTTTGCCACAATCAGATGCACTCGGCTAAGGGGAGTTGAGTTATTTCAGGGCAGTTCAGCATATGGAGAAGCTTTAATAGTTCAGGATACACTGCCTCGCAAAGCATGTTACAAATTTGTGGATGTAAGTGGTCGAGGCGAGGATGGCTATGGGCGTGTTACAGCACAGAGCAGTTTTGTTTAGACTAGGTAGATAAGCAAGAAATAGGTTGAAGTGTTTAGTGATGGGAATCTCCGATGAAATGAACGGAAAGGCTCACCGTAATAGATGGTATTACCATTATGCTGAATACTGGTGTATAAACGATAACTGTATCTATGGTCTAACATAGAACAAGTTATGAATTTGCCAGATAAATGCTCTTAATGGCTCGGTCTCGGTTTTCAAACGCCCTTTTGCAGACTCCAGTCTCTCTCGAAGGAAAAATGTCAAATCCATGCGGACATCCCGGATACACATGGAGTTCTGCACTGATACCGGACTTGTAGAACTTGGTCGCAAGCTCGATCGACTCGTTTCGGAAGAGATCCAACTCGCCCACCTCGATATACAGAGGCGGCATACCCGTGGCATCTACCATGCGTGCTGGCGCGGCTGTTTCGGCCACCACCTCTCTGCCCCTACTACAGCCCAACAAGGCCTGCCAGCCGGTCTCGTTATCCGTAGTGTTCCAGCTTAGAAACGGGATCAAGTGCTCGTCAGCTGATACTGTGCGATCATCAAGCATAGGAGATAGCAGAATGAGCTTCGCAATACGGGGTCCGTCTTGCCGTCGAGCAAGGAGTGCCGTTGCTACAGCCAGGCCGCCACCAGCGCTATCACCCATGATACCAATACGGCTGGTATTCACTCCAAGTTCTTCTGAATGCGCCACTAGCCAGTTCAAAGCCGCATAAACATCGTTGACGGGGATTGGATAGGGATACTCTGGAGCCAGGCGATAATCAACTGCGAGAAACGGCACCCCCGTGCGGGCGACATATGCCGCCACTACTTTATCATAGGCCTTAACACTACCCAAGATCATACCACCACCATGAGCGTAGATCACCGCTGGGCTTGGGGACTTGTGGTTCGAAGAGTACCAGCGCAGAAAGATCTTTTGGCCATCCGATGTATCGACAAAGAAGTCTCTGGTCGTGACCTGATCAAGAGGGAAATTAGGGTCGGCCAGAATAGCAATACCTGGCTCCATTCGAGAGCGTCTGGCTTCGACATCTCCCACAGGAAAGGGGGCGGGAGTAGGTCTGTTGCCAAAAAGGGACTTCAAAATCGCATTATATTCGTTGTCGAGTTTGAACGGCATCTTGAAGCAGAAGAACGGATACACAAATTGGTCACTGATGAAGAGCGAGTGATTGTTCAAACAAGCGAGGGCGTACTATTATTGGCGGTCTTTGTGAACTTATAACATGCCGATCCTGACAAGGGAACTAGCCCTTTGCATTCTGAATGGTTTTGTATCAGCTATAGGTTTGTGCACCTAGCCTTACAATATCTATCTGGATAATGGAATCATAGCAAAGGCCCAGTATGGTTGAGTAAATGCTCATTTTGGTTTAGGGCCGGGGAAATTTTGCCAAAAGTGATGCCAAGGACCCATCCTCACAGAGTGGCTAGTGGGATAGGCCATACGGACCCACTGACACTCTCAAGCTCCCATAGCGATAGCGATAGCGAGACCGAGACCGAGACCGATATCGATGACTCCTTGTTAAGGGAGGAGCTCCTCCGCTTTCCGAAGACTTCTTTTGGAGTTGAGGCTAAGCTTCTGCGCTAGGCACTACTCGGTTAATGACTCACAGATCAGATTAGACGCCGACTTTAATTGGGTACTGTCTCCCTCAGTTCCAGTGCGCGACATCGCGTGGAGTCCATGACGACTTTTTACCACATTGAAGGGAAAATATAAAGATAAAAGACGTACCAATAATATAGAGTTAATACATAACAATAACTACAGCCATTTAGAATTATTTCATACTGCTTTTCTTAATTAAGCTTACTTTTTAAAAATTAGAAACTTTAGACTTATGCCTTAGCCACTCTCGTATTGTCTATTTATAGCTATTCTGGTTTTGTATTTTAGCCCGTTTTCGAGGCTGAGGCCATTGCTTAAACGCAATTATCCCAGACAATTATCTTGGCAAAAGTCTATTCTTAGTTGAGGCTCAGGCTTCGCTTGATGAAAATGCTTTCTGGGAGGCCTATTATGATTGTTATATAACTTTAATCTAGTGTTAAACGTAGTTATTCTTAATTGGCAGCAGCGTGTATTAACTGACAATGTCCTACAAAGACATCCTATTTGACCCACGTGGTGATATCAAGCTCTGCGTCGGAGAAATAGACCCCATCACCTTTACAGCCTGTTCAAGGGCTTTAGCTAGAGCATCACCAGTCTTTAATTGCATGCTCTTCGGGCAGTTCATGGAGTCAGAACCTACAAATGGTAAAGACTGGATTGTAGAACTCCCAGAGGACAAGCCAAAAGCATTATCCATCTTTCTACACATATCACATGGTCAATTCGATCAAGTACCCCGAACGCCATCGATAGATGACCTGTACGACCTTACGGTGTTGTCAAACTACTACGATGGCACACATATGCTGGAACCCTGGGTTGGAAGATGGATGTCTTTGGTGGAGGATGACGCGAATGCGTCAAAGGTCTCGATGAGCAAGAGCTTATGGATAGCATGGGAGTTTGGCCGGAAAGACTCGTTTTGCAGAATAGCAAGAAGAATGCTCATGGAATCGGATGGCTCCAAAGATCCCCAACTCAAAATGCAGCCAGACATACTAGGTGAGTTTCTGGCCCATATCCGCAAGATAATAACTAATCCAGTCTTAGAGCGAATATCTGCAAATCGTCTCGCGACCATTCAAGCACTTCTAGACATTATCAGAAAACTCATCAATGACTTACTTGTCGTTGATGAGAAGCCCCGCTGGTGTCGACATGCAGAGTGGATGGGGCCGCATCGCTGCGAATCCATGATTCTGGGTTCAATAACGTTTTGTCTCGCGCGAGGGGGTCTGTGGCCCCTACCCCAGGCGGAAGATGTGATGGACAGTATCGTTGGACTGCGTTGTAAGATGACCCAGCTGGTGATCCATGACATTGGAAAGGTGGACGGGCTTGATCATACACACTGCAATCCAATGCAGTTCTTGCTGGGCGAAGTGGAAAGGGTCTTTATCGATATTCGGAATCCAGTCACTAAAGATGACCTGGAAGCAATGGATAAGCAGAAGAAAAGACTCACAAAGACATAATAGAAAGGGAACACGATAGTCCAATATCTGATTTAGATTTGCTTTAAAACTCTAATGGCTGAGCTTTCCAACACACTGATATAGTGGCTGCATCCGTGCATTGCTGTTGGTGTCAGATGGTAATGAGTCAGAAAGTTCCCACCCAATGTGCTGTCGGAGAAGCTACAGGGGCAAATTCTGAGATGCTGTTGTCTTTTAGACTTGCATCCATTCCCTCAAGATACTTCCTCCAATAACTTACTCTGGTCGAACCACCAGGTCTCGGCGGGAGATAAACCGAGCTTCCCAAGCACATTAAATTAACAAGGTTAACCTAAACCCAAGGCTCAACGGCCCGTCGACGTCATTGCTGATCCCTACCAAGCTTAGTTAGACTGGCCTGTGATATCGGAACAGCCCCACAACTCTTCCGTGATCACTTTCCCAGTCCAGCCTATGGGGGTAATAAACCCCGAACCCCCCGGTCGGTGGATCGTCAGCGAATTTCGGTGTAAGCCAGCCCCCTTGAGGCTCGTGTAATCCTCCCCCCGACTCCCGGAGGCCTAAACTCGTTCAGAGGCCTGCTCCGCACACGACCTCCGCCAAGAATGGGCCCTGACGAATGATCATCACATTGACATCGGAACATCTGCCGATATGCAAGAAACGCCATGGTTAAAAGTCAAAGATAGGCTGCAATAATTAGATAAAGCATTAAATTAAGCTGTATTTTCCTTTCTCTCTCTCGTTTCTAGGAGTTTGGATTTGTTGGGTTGTTATCAGATTTTGATTGAGTTTTCCGTGAATGATAGACGGAAAATTCCGAGAGTGGGGTAACCTATTTATGTACCTTGCGTCGGTAAAAGGAGCCAGGCGTGATGTGAAGACTCTGATTTCCAGCTACCAATTTATTACTGTATAGACTATTAGCGATACTTCTTTTTAGGAACTGATGATGTAGAATATATGCCGTAGGTATATAGACATAACTGCAACAGTAGATTAGAAACAACATTGGTGACAAACTCGCAAAGTTGATGGCACCATTGAGGCGAGGTCAACCTAAACCCAAAGCTAGCAACCTGTATGTAGGCCATCGCGATCACCGAGCTCCCGCCAGAGCTTTGATTGGGTTTTATTTGTCATACGCGTTTAGGTCCGCGTATATCGCAAAGCACCGGCAGCCCCACCTTATTGCGCCTCCGACTAAGAGGGAGATCGAGGCTCGTTCCTCGTTCAATTCTCTGTCTAGCAACAAACAACGTTCTTTAAACCTCGTTTAGCAAAAAAGACTAATCTTTTACTCTTTTGCCCCCCCACGACCCTTGCCAAGGATGGTCCTTGACAAATCACCATCAGAGACATCGGATCATCTTACGAACCGAAAGAAACGTCTGCATAAGAAGTCAAAGACAGGTTGCAACGATTGCAGGAAGCGTCGGGTCAAGGCATGTTTTTCCTACGCTTCTTTTACTGTGATTACCTGATACGGTGGGCCAGCCTTCTGATTCTGCGTCGTAGTGTGATGAGAAAATACCAGCCTGTACCGCTTGCGTCCGACGTGGCGATGTATGCGTCTATCCATCCCCAATAATCAGTCATCCCTCACCGGCTTCGGCTCAGCAAACGGATGAGGCAGCACTCGCTGCGTCGCTGACGCTACCAAGGATCGTCGAGGGCCATGAACAATCAGCATCATCAACCACAACCTTTACACCCGATGATCTTGCCTTGCTACACTACTGGACAATCTCAACGAGCTTAGACATCATCAAGTCCCCCGTCGGAGATCATTATTGGCAAAAGACGTTTCCAAATATTGGATTCCAGTATACCTTCGTCATGCATGGAATTCTAAGCCTGGCAGCGCTGCATCTTGCCTACAGACACCCTGCCGACAAGCCGCGACTTGTCTGTATCGCCGCCTATCATCACAACATAGCACTACGGGGATTTCAACACGGCATCAGCCAAGTGAACGATGGAAATAGTGATGCTCTATACGCCTTTTCTTGTTTAAACATGGTCTATGTGCTGGCCTTCTTTGGACCTCTCTGCGATGGCGCTTCTGTCGACAGCAAGTCCCGCATTCTCGGAGAAGGGTGGATCCCAGCGATACGCGGCGTCGACGCAGTACTACATCCTGTATACGATAGGGTATGTCGAGGGCCACTGGATGACTTGACAAAGATCGGCAACTGGGATCAACTGGACCCAGATCAACAAGCATTTACTCACGATGATCACTTCCGCAGTATACAACAAGTTTGGGAGAGCAATAACGACGCATGCATCTACAATGAGTCACTCTATCTACTCCGGAAATGCAACGCATATATGAAGCAGTTCGAGACAATGAGCAGTGAGGCTAAAGCTGAGTGGGGATACAATCAGGACTGGTCAGCACCATATATATGGTTACACGCGACTTCTAAGGAGTATCTTGACTTGCTACAACAGCGAAAGCCACCGGCTTTGCTTCTTTTTGCATATTTCGGTGCTTTGGCCCATGCTTTAGACGGATCCTGGTTTATGGAAGGTTGGGGGCGAAGTATAATACTTGTTGTCGATGAGTTACTAAGAGGATATTATGACCGATGGATAGAGTGGCCTAAAGAAATTATACGTATATAAAATTTATATATATATCTTACTTAAGTATAGACCCTGAGTAAAGTTGAATTGAAGGAGGGAAAGAGCTTGGAAAACACTCAGCTTTGTACTCTGGACGAACCTTGGCTCCTCTACTTAAAAGTAATGCCACAGCCGCCTTATATCCTCTTTCTGCTGCTAAGTGAATGGCTGTTCTTTCCACTATGACTGCACTCATTCCGGTCATAAGGAAATCCGATCTTTGCTTCCGTTGAATGATTAAGTATTGTCTTTTCCCTGTGCTCTGAGCCGAGCGAGATGTGGTCTTGCTGGTAAAAAGATCATTGATACGCGCTCCATGATCTAATAAGAGACTGATCATTGAGTTTTGCCCGCTATCAGCCGCTAGATGAAGTGCTGTCTTTGACTCCTCTTTGAAGTACTGTATGCCTCCACATCTCCAGTCTTTATCTGTCAATCTTCGACCGTTGACATTCGCTCCCTTTTGTAGAAGGCTCTCCACCAATGCTAGTTGTTCATTCTCAACCGCCCAGTGAAGTGATGTTCTTTCAGATGAGACTTTTCCGAGAAGTGATGGTGAGCAATGCTCATCTGTCTTGTTACTCGCCTGGGCACTTGCGTTTTCAAACTTTCCTTGCTGGTCGGGGATGGCGCTGCTATTCACGAGTAGCGTCAGGATCCCTTTATGCCCATTGTTCGCGGCAGACCTGAGCAAGCCTCCACCCCAGGTTACCCGGGTCCTCGTCAGCAGCACCTTAACAACTGCCTCGTGGCCACCCTCCACTGCATAATCAAGAGGCGTCGACCTGTAACTAGAATCTTCGCGGTCTGCATCAACGGTATCCATAGCAAGCAGTAGTCTGACCACCGCCTCGTGGCCGTTTTCTGCTGCAAATGACAATGGCGTCCGACCTCTCTTATCCGCAGAGTCTGCAAAAACCCCTTGTTTCTCAAGGAGGAGTTTGACAACCGCAGTGTGCCCTTTTTGTGCGGCACAAGCTAAGGGCGTTCTTAATTCCCAGTCAGTTGAGTTGGGGTCAACGTCATGTCTGGAGAGAAGGAGCCTAACCACTTCTAGGTGGCCGTTCTCTGCTGCAAACGACAACGGCGTCTGACGATTTTTATGTACACAGTCTGCGAGAATACCTTGATTGCCAAGTAAGAATTTGACAACGCCGGCATGCCCATTCTTTGCGGCCCAAGAGAGCGGGGTCTCAACATACATTCCATCAGTAGAGTTAGGGTCGACGTCGTCCCTGGCGACAAGTAGCTTGACAACCTTTTCGTGCCCGTACCTTGCTACGTATGACAATGCAGTCCACCCACATATACCCTTGGAATCTGCAAGTTGGCCTTTCTCCAACAAAGCCAATACTGTGTTAGATAGCCCAAAATATGCTGCTGTATTTACTTTGGTTTCTGTGGCCTTGATATACTCCCATGAGTGGTGTTGGGAAGCCATGATTTCCTGGACTGAGGCAAGTGGTTTAGCTGGAGTATTCAGGAAATCTACAATCACCCGCCCACCATCCATAGACGCCATGAGAGCATGATGCCCCCAGTTATGCGAGGCATAGCCATAAAACGGATTGCACGTCAGACGGTTCTCATATTCCTCTTTACTTCTACAAAAGCCGCCCTTAAAGACGTCAAATGAGAGGTATCTGATACAGGCCATTGTGATATGCGACTCTGCAATGGGAAACCACTGGCCGCGAGTCCGCTCGAGGTATTCCTGTGTTGTATAGTGAACTAGTCGGATGACACCGCTATTGTCGTCAACTGTGACCAGACCAGAACACACTGAGACCATATCGTCGATTTGGGGGATGTTTTCTTTATTGAGTTCGAGATCATTTTCTTCGACTGCAAGCGCATGCTGAAGTTCTGAAGTTTTGAGAACTCTTCTAGCGCAAGTTATCCATGAAAGAACTTGCGTGGCTAGCTCCTTAGAATCTTGGTCCTGGCCAGCTATTCTCTCCATGGCTTTCTTGTAAGCAATATCGTACGCTTTCGGCCCACCTGACAGGCTGTTTAATGCATCCTTGATCTTCTTAAGAGTCTTCTTTGTGGACACAGATTGGAAATGAAGTTGCGCGAGGAGGAACCTGCGTAAGTGTTATTTCTCAACTATGTATTGCGATTGACTTAGACCTACATTCCGTCAACTGACTTGGCGATTTCAGACTTGATCTTCTCACGATGTGTCTGCAATAGCTTCCCTGATTGCGAGATCTTGCTGTCTAGGAAGCTTCGCACGTCCTCATCTTGGGCGCGAATTTTAATCGTTTTACCTCCTCCAAATTTATCCGTAATCTCCGGAATAAACCTCGACGTAGCAAAGAATTTCGCACTGCCTTGAGCCTGGACCTTGAAGATCTCTTCCAGGAACCTATTTCGGCAACCGTCTATTGCATTGAGCTCATCAAGTGCGTCAACAATGATGTAGACCCGTGTGAATAGCGCAACAACGGACTGAAGAGTCGTTGAGATTTCCTCGCTGGAGGGCCGCGTCTTCCCGACGTTGTGCTTGTCGTAGAGAACCTTCAGGCTTGCTGGCATAGAATATTGTCCTTGAACTAACTGCTTTAGTAGGCTTTCGAGCAGATGATTAAGTCTCTGTTCGTCACGCTGCCGGTAATTACCATAGATGAATGCGATCCCGACGGTGTCATCATCCCCAAAGCGGGTCATGAGTTCATTGATCACGATGGATGTGAGGATTGTTTTGCCTGCTCCAGGAACGCCGGGACAGAACAGCGTCTTCCCAGTGTCGATCCAGTCTTGGAACTCTTTGGAGCTTAGAAGCCACTCACCAGTGCCTTCTTGTCGTTGGCTAAAGGTGTCGCTCTGCTGGGGTCCGTAGTTGACAGGTGTGAGCCACTCGAGGATCTCAACGTCCTCTTTTCTATCCATCTTACGCTTCACTTCTCGAATGTTCGCATCAGACCGTGAGACAGTTTCATGGACTAAGATGAAAGTCAGAAGGTTGCTACTGTACATTGAACCTTGATCTACTCACTTTGGCCCAAAACTTCCTTTGCCGTAGGCTCCCTCTCAACATCGCTTGCCTGCACTTGGCCCAGCAATTCCTTCGCAAAGGCAGCTGCCACAGCGGCTGCATGGGCTTGCCACGCATTATTCTTATGCGAATCAGCATAATCGCAAATGCCCCGGATGGTGATGCAGGGCAAGTTATGCGCCAGCCCTGCCGCTTCCATCTCAACACACAGCGCCTGACCACCTAGATCCCTATTGAGCTTGTCACGGAAGATGGAATCCTTGATGACTTCGTTTCCAGATGCGATAAGCCCGTAATGAACTCGCATCTCTCTAGGCTTCCTCTTCACCGTTTGGCTCTTATCGCAGAAACGACAGTCGTCTTCTGCGTCACTCTCCTCAGCTTCATGATCATTAACCCGGATGACTGTTCCATCCGCTGTTCCTTCCGCAACACTCTTACTGATATGGGAGTATTCAGTCTTGAACAGTTGATCTTTGAGCGAATCAGACTTGAGGTACTTGTGTGCCAATCTTGGCCACTTCTGCTCCAGTTCCTTCAAGTAGTCAGGTATTCGAGAGCCAATTAGATCATGCTCCGACTCTACCAATGTCAAAGCTGCCAGTAAGGAATTTGGCGGACTATTCAATGACCCCGTCCTCTCGAATGTGCCTCCTTGATGTGCCTTTCCCAAGTCGTATTGGACTACGCCTGGAAACGCCCCAACAGGAGTGCTAACCACAACGTCACCCAGACGAACCTTGGGCGGAATGCCACCTCCGATACCAACCATTAGACAAAACCTAATGTTCGGAAAGGTTGAGACCATATTAGTGGCAACTGTCGCTGCTGAGACATTGCCGATTTTGCCCTTAGGCAGACAGGCGATAACGACAGAATGTTTGCCCACAGCTCCGAGTGTATATGTGTTGTTGTCGTTCGGCGGCTTCGGGAGATTTGTATGCCTCTGGTCCAGCATAGCTATCGCCGCCGTCTGTTCGGTGGGCAGGGCGCAGACCCATCCAACATGGTAGTCATTGTGAGACCAACATTCAGTTCCTGATGCCATTGTTAAAGACTAGGACGGGATCTGTGTTCCAGCAGAGACCGATAGTAAGTTATATCAAACAGCCACTTCCATGTCATTCACCACGTTCGGTGGAAATTATTTATGCTGTTTTCTATTTAGGGCTAGGAGACGGTGAGACCTCGTTGGTAGAGGCAAATGAAATGCTGATCTCAGTGTTCGGCAAAAGCGAATCGACAAGGGCTTGATAAATATTTCAGGGCCGTCTTTGCCCATCTACTGATCTTTCTGGGTCAAAGACGTCGAAAGTTGATCAACAAATGTGAGAGGAATGCGTGAATGTTGAGAGTGTTCAGTGGAGATGGAAGGGAGAATGTCTCCTCACTACGAGGCCTTCGGGCGGTGATAGGCGCCCACTAGGCATCAATAATCCAGCCTTGAAATTGAGTCATATTTCTTGGCCGCTGGAAAAAGCAGCAAATCATTGGTGCTGTAAGCGCCGTGGCGCTGGAAGATCAGGCTGCGAATATGACGGCGTAACGAAACTTTGCATATCACGTGGTACAAATGCCTGGGCTGGTCATGTTTTACAACTTCTGAGCTTCATAGAGATGAAATCACCGCCGCATGATCGGTCGCGGGCGACAATGGGTGGAGGGAATGGTAGAGGCGAGCAATAAGAACGAATGGTCGGAATAGTATAATGGGCTGGCCCTGAAATTCGCACTAGTAAACAACGTAAGAGAGCCTGTTTGCCAGCTGATACATGAAAGTAATGACTATTGGGCAACTAAATAAACAGCTTGTTGATTCCAGAAACCTCCTCCATCCTCAAGCCCCTTGCCCTTTAGAGACATAATTACATCACATCACGATACACATAAGGCCACCCATAACTACAAAGATAATCAGCATTAACCACATTTCAAACCATTAGCTAACTTACCGCCAGCGACTGCACTTGCAGCAATTCCATTCATAACACCACCAACGATCTCCCTCGTATACCCTTGAACCCTCTTGTTGTCTCTACGACTCTTCTCAGCAGCTTTTTGTGCCTTGATAAGAGCCTTACGATGTGTTTCAGTACGGCGTGCAACAAGTTGTTGTTGCTGTGGGTTGTTTTTTAGCCGGACTACCTCCTTTTGAAGCGCATCGCAAGACTCTTGCACGTCTTGCAACATCATCTCCTTACTTTGAACTTCAGCTTCAAATTGGCCTTTGAGGGTGAGAATCCGCTGCTTTAGCGCCTTTTTCTCACTTTGATGTAGATCTAGCATGGTCTTGACCAATACCTGTCGACCCTGTTCAGTCTGTTGGATCTCTTTATCCACTTCAGCCTTCAGCTCTTGTAGTTGAAGAAAATACTCCTCATCCAAATCCGAGTGTGTTCTTTCTAGCTCAGCATTAAGTTGGATGAGCTGGTTGTCCTGTTCCAGGCGAGCTTTGAATAGGTACTCGGCGGCGGCTATTCCTGCCGCTGTCTCCCCAAGATTCTTTTTCTCATCAACGACCTCTCGTTGTAATTGAAGCACGCGCGGGGAATGGCCCCTAAGTTGTTGTACCAGGGTATCCACGACCCGCCGTCCTGAGCATGCTCTACTGCAGCCTATTTCGTAGTGTCGAAACGCCGTGGCTCCTTTAGCGACAAAATCACCAAAAAAGCCTTGATTTGTCAACAACTCATGTTCCCGCTCTTCAAGAATATTCTTTGCAACAGAATCTGGGGACTCGGGCCACATCGTGGTGACGACGGCGAGACTATTATAGGAAGCGAATCCAGAAATGGCTTTCAAGATTTTTAAGCTCCTTAGGTTTGACCCGGCCATTCGGTTGTTTGTAATAGGATATAGCATAATAACACCACTGATTCGCACACCATTGGCATACGATGCACCAAGATACGTTGCTAAGATCTCTAGCGTATCGATATCAGAGCGAGTTGTGTCGTTAAACCCTGGAGTATCTACAAGGAAGATGCGTTGCCCATTTCTAGTATACTGGAAAACACCCATTGAGTTAGTACCTATTAATTAGTTAAGCTATTCTGTTGTATGTAAATGTTGACTTGCTGAGTCGTAAGCTTGGAATGGAAGCTGTATTAATACTCACATGAATAGAGTCCATGGCCTACATTGACGGCATGACCTGTGCAGTTGGAGACGAATGTACTCTTTCCAGCTCCAGTCAGGCCCATCACAAGGAAGAACATGTCTCCCGGGTCCGACTTGTTGAGACCAAGAAATGTCTTGAAGCATTCAGCTTGATCGAGCAATGCGTCATCGCCAATGCTGAGGGTGCCCATATCGAATAACCTTATGGAAAAAGGAACCGAGAGTAGGAAACATCTATAGAGGGAATGGGATGCGCAAGATGCTGGCCCAGATGAAGGTCGAACTGACTCCAGTCATGGCACAGCCTGATTAAGAACGCCCTCGAAAGTGCCTCACTAATGAGTCAATCTTTGAGGGGGTTTGCCAATGGCTGTGCAGTAGCCACCTGGCCCACAAAGATAATGTGCAGTATGTGATTGTGTGATTCAACCAAGGAAGTGTGCATATGCACGTCGGTCACAAGCCCGAGAATGGTTAGCTGGTACTTGACAATTTTCTGCCGTAGAGGTGAAATTAATCGCAACGCTTGCCAAAAAAAAGAAGAGACAAAAAAATAGAATAGTAAGTATTCTCTGAGTCTAAAGAAGTTATTTGACTGCCTTCCTCGTACTTGCATTGTTAAATGCAGCCATACAGATCTTTTAAAGCGTATCCGCGCTCGGCTAACTAAGGAAAGCTGGCTGCATATTGGCTGCAGGGAAACCCAATGCTGACATGGCGCAGCCTATGTGACCCTCTTCTTGGCAGTTGACTACCCGATGGCCGTGTGGCTAAGCCATATGAGCAAAGGTCTCCCGCAGTTAGTTTCATGCCATGCTCCGTTAAACAGGCCTCAAGAGCCATCGCGACAGGCAAACACCTTGTTCAGTCCATAAGCTTGCGGCGCAAAGTTACCCTCAACAGATTGCGAAGGCTGGCATCAATTACCCAAAGACTTTACAGAGCGCAGTTAGCCGCCTGACATGACAGGCCCGAACATATTACCCAGTCCAGTGACAGCGGGGTCATTGGACCCTGTTCCTAAGAGCTTTCGTAGCGGACATGCCCCTCGGTGAGCAAGTCATCTGTGAATACAACCAAAATTGCGTTGCTAATTCTTAAAGACCAAATGATGCCTTTATCGCCCTGATGGGTATAACTGGCTCAGGAAAGAGCTCATTTATATCGAAATGCACCGACAAGTCTGCTACAATCGGCCACGACATGGTATCATGTTTGTTAACAAAAAACTTTCTCTCCCAACGAATTCGGACTCACGTATAGTAGGCACATCTTTTGTCGATGTCTATCCGTACGAGGTTACATCCGACTTTACTGTATATCTCATCGACACGCCCGGCTTTGATGACACTGGCAGAAGTGATACCGAGGTCCTCAGCGAGATTGCTGCTTGGCTCACAGACTCTTACAAGCACAAGATTCGTCTTCACGGCATAATCTATCTCCACCGAATATCCGATGTTCGAATGCAAGGCTCAGCTAAGAAGAACTTAGTCACATTCAAAGAGCTATGCGGTGAAGATGCGCTGAAGAAGGTAGTCTTGGCGAGTACTATGTGGGATATAGTTCCTGCAGAGAAGGCTACTAAGCGTGAGCAAGAGCTTAAAGACACTCCGGAATTCTGGGGCTGGATGCTCTCAAAGGGCAGTTCTATTCATCGATACAACAACACGGCGGAATCTGCTAGAGAGATCATACTCTCGTTGGCCGGCCACAATGCGCCCATAGCCACCGATCTTCAGAAACAGATGGTCGACGAAGGAAAGAGCCTGGACGAGACTTCTGCCGGCCAAGGACTCAAGAGCGAGCTTCTAAAAGAGCGACAGAAGTTAACAAAAGAACGCCAGGACCTTCAAGCACTGATAAAAGAGGCAAAGAAAGAACACGATGTCGACACGGAGGAGGCTCTACAAGAAGAGAGTGACAGATATGCGGTCTTGATAAAAAGAGCCGAAGAGAGCGCCAGAGCCCTAAAGATTACTATGGAGAATCTCGTCGCCAAGCGAGACTTGCGCGTTGCAGAAATGACCAAGGAGATGAGAGAAGTACAGACTGAGTATGAGACCAACTTTAGGCTGATGGCATTGGAGGAGATCAAACTGAACAAGGAGAAAGTGGAGTTAGAGAACCGGCAGAAGCAACGGCAAGGAAAGCCGGGCTCAAAAGCATCGACTAGTACTCAAGAAGCTGACCCAGGACTGCCTGGACAGCGTCCGGAGGCAGGAGAGGGAGATATCCCTGCTGCTAAGATTGGAGTATCTGTATCTATAAGCAAGTCCTTCTACATATTGCAAAGCCCACTTTGCTGGAGTTGGTAAGTAAGTTTGCTCCAAGTTGCGACGCAATGGCTAATAACACGAATAAAAGCAACGAGGTGGAACTCCAGGAATTCCATAACGGGAAGCGTATGGATCTAGGGTGCTTAATTGCTGTGAGCGACCAAAGAACAGCATGGATCGCTCGTTACGATAATAATTACTGGAGTAAGACATCAAGAGAACCAACACATTGCAATATTGACTAACAGCAAAGGATGGTCTGCGGGGTTTGAACGATACTACCCCTTCCTAGCCAAGAGCATCAAGTCCTACGGCCTTGATGCCGTCAAGTTGTGTGCACTTGGCCCCAGCTACCATTACTACACTAAATGGAAAGAATTTCGCATCTACAACTGCTCAGAGAAATTCTCAAGGACGATCAAACACAATAACTGCACCGTCAAGACAGTATGTTTTGGATACGGCAGCTCGTTCCTCGTCTCTTATGGCTTTGAGAATGGTCATCTTGGCTGGACACATGACCTCCAGGGCTTTTACCCGAGTCTCAATCGATTTCTCAACAACCAGAAGAGATTAGGGAACAGAATCAGCATACATGTAAGCCACAAGAAGTGGAAGGGTAGTATTCTCAATACTTACATTGGTGTAGGCTGCGACACTTGATCCCTTTAGTAGAACTGATTATCTAGTTGTTTTTACCGATAATGAGGGGAGAGATAGTAGTAAGCTGAAGTATAAAATGCACTGTTCGAACAAGGCTACCCGTCGGGCAGTTGAGAAATGGTGGGAGGTGACTAAAGGGCGGCTAGTGCCTCGCGAACGATGATCAGGTTAGTAATAGCCTGCCACGCCGTAATTGATACTTAGGCTTATGGGAATGTGTCACGTTAGCTGTATTATGAGTAAGGAAAAAGGTTTAATAGAAACTCTACTAAATAGAAATAGTACATTTCGAGGCGATTGAATTTTGCGGCTGCCCAAGATGATGCGTCAAAATGCAAAGTTTGTTTTCAAAATTATAATGTCTACCGTCACATAAAGAGGAGCTTTTTCCTCTCCATATCCTGACTACATGCCACTCTATATATGTTGAGTTTTCATCCTGTTAATAAAGCAAACATCAACCGATTAAGTTTGGAAATCTTCCTGTCAGCGCAACGAGAGCTATCAGATTCAACAATGCCTGCAGCCACTATGGAACCAATCCCAGAAACGAGTCTTGAATCAGATGCGGGAATAACCACTCGGTCATATTTAATGTTCTTCCTATTGTCACTCGGTGGCGCGTTGGTCTATCTCAACATCAGAGAGAACTTCAACATGGCATTCTTCTTGGGTGCAAGTGTTATATTTCTTATAGTTGCCACTACAGGTTCAACGAGAAGAAAGACAACTAAATGCTGATCGACACTGGGACAATTCAATTGCTCTGTCTCGCATCGAATCCTTCTCGGGGCAGTTCGCCACTGCATCTATTCCAGTCACCATTTTTCATACATGGTTTTATACAACGCATCGCAAAACAGGGTGATGGCTCTCGACCCAGCTTCAAGCACCGCGTCCATCGCAATAAACGGATGAGGCTGGCCCTTCATGACATTCAGCTCCGCCTTGACACCAGCATCTCGCAGCTTCTTTGCAAACTGCTCACCCTCCGACCTGAGTACATCCAGTTCACCGACGACAAAACAAGCAGGCGGCAACTTTGAAAAGTCTCCGTTCCAGAAGAGTGGACTAGCTTCGGGATGAGCCCAGTCCTCCTTATTGGGGAGATAGTGGTTCCGGTACCAGAGCATTTTGGGAGCTGGAAGGGCTGGGGAGTACTGGTTTTCTTTCCATGAGATGTTGTTGGTTATATCAGCTGTGTTGTCCATCACAGGAACGGAGAGGAGTTGGAGGGAGAACTTGGGGGATCCTCGATCAGCTGCTCGTTGACACATTATAGCAGCCAAATTGGCGCCAGCAGAAGAACCGCCTGTATCATTCAATTAGTATAAATAGCCGCTTGATGATCGAGCCATTCTTACCAGTCGCCAATTTTGAACTATCCAGTCCAAGAATATCTTTACCCTCGCTCATGACCCAAAGAACAGCCTCCCAAGAATCATGCACCGCCGCAGGGAACGGGTCCTCGGGCGCCAGCCTGTAATCAACAGCCACGACGACACATTTGCCTCTCGCACAAAGATGTGACGCGATGACATTCTCAGTGTCTATCGTGCCGAGAACCCAACCGCCACCATGGTAGTAAATACACACAGGCCATCCATGTTCTGGCTTGTCGCCAATTGGCGTGAAGCATCGAACCCTGACATTAGGTCCTTCGCTCTCTTTACGGTTGATGGCGTAGTCGATTGTACTTGCGACAGGCTGAAGAGGACCACTGCCTGGAATGAGGATGCCACTGCTTCGTGACGCTTCTACTGGTTGGAGGTGCACTTGTTGCTTGTCGAAGATGTGCTTGTTGTAAAACGCTGCATATTCGGGGTCAATCCTGTCAATGACTGACTCGTGTAGGGGATAAGGCGGTTGATTGCTCATGTTGTAAAACTGTGCCGTAATCTGGAAATAACTTGTGGTTGAGTCGATGACTCAAAATACGCCGATGGCTGTTGTGAGTGACGATGGTGTCTTTAAGCTTCGGAGGTTTATTTCGCACCGGCCCTTTTGCGCGGGTTTCCGAAATCGGGCATCCGGTGGAACCTCTACAGTCCGTGGTGGTAGCTTGCACTGGGTCGGATCGTCGCTCTACGTTACATGGAGGGAGCACCAACCTCGTGTGAGATGGTAACCTACGCTTATGACGGTAACACTGTGTTTCGAGTCAGCTGCAATCATGATTGCAGGGTATCGCTATCTTGATAGGTCCTTTGAGTATGTAACCTCCGAATCTAAGCCCTTGCAACCTGTATCTCGCCTCCCCCGCATAACCAGTCTCATGCCAGGTTGAGATAACAAACTTGGTATCAGACATTATACAAAAGTGTGAACTGCCACTTCTGTTACTTCAGCTGGAGGCTTTTCGGTGGCATCAGTAAACAAGTCGTAGTCAATTTGGGCCGCCATCAACAGACAATTCGACGCCATGGACACCAAAGATCACAAAGATGATGGCATCATCGACGATACCTACGCCGAAGGCACTGGTGAAGAGACAGTCCTTGAGGTTGACCATATCGCCGAGCGTCAACTCTGTCGCAAGTTTGACGTCCGATTGATGCCCGTTCTGGCCATCATGTGTAAGACCCTTCACCTCACAGTTCACCAACTCGTCTAACCATCTACAGATCTCTTTAACGCTCTTGACAAAGGCAACCTAGGCAACGCCCAAACCGTCGGTCTCAGCGACGGTAAGCCATCCAGCTACCTATCATGTCACAAGCTAAACCGCGACAGATCTCAACTTCAAGCCAAACCAATACAACCTCCTCGTATCAATCTTCTTCGTGCCCTATGTCATCTTCGCTCCTCCCACCGCCATCATCGGCAAGAAGTACGGTCCGGCGCGAGTCCTCCCCATTCTCATGTTTACGTTTGGATCCATGACTCTGCTTGCTGCTTGTACGCAAAACTTTGGTGGCATGTTTGCGCTGCGCTTCTTTCTTGGCATGGCGGAGTCGGGCTTCTTTCCGTTGGTGATTTATTATCTGACTACGTTTTATCGAAGAGGCGAACTTGCGCGTCGTCTGGCAGTATTCTACGCTGCGTCCAACATCGCGAATGCTTTTGTATGTTTCAATTGCTCTCAAGACGAGATCTGTGGCTAACGACGACAGAGCGGTCTTTTATCATTTGGCGTCTTTCAAATCGACTCCAAAATATTCGTCTGGCGATATCTCTTCATCATTGAAGGCTCAGCTTCAGTGCTCTTCTCAATCTTTGCATTCTGGTACCTCCCTCGCAGTGCAGCTCAAGCCAAGTTTCTCGGCGAAGAAGAAAAGGCGCTGGCTTTTCATCGGATGCAAGTGGATTCTTCATCTGTCGTGCAGGAAAAGTTCAACTTCAAGGATTCGATCAAGATCTTTACGTATCCGACGACGTATTGCTTTTTGCTGATTGAGATTTGCCTTGGTGTACCGATTCAATCGGTTGCGCTGTTTATGCCTCAGATTATCCAGCGACTGGGATATGGGCCTGTCAAGACGAATCTTTACACTGGTAGGTCAATTTGCATTGCGCGTATCTTCTTTTACTGATGCGATATGTTAGTCGCGCCAAATGTTGGTGGTGCTGTGATGCTTCTCATTCTGGCCTTCAGCTCTGATTTTCTACGCATTCGCTTCCCGTTCATCATGCTCGGATTCGCTCTCACGTTCATCGGCTTCATCATCTATGCCGCCATCTCCGACGTCCAAGCTCAATTACAATTGGCGTACTATGCATGCTTCATGATGGTCTGGGGAACATCAGCTCCCTCCGTCCTCCTATCAACATGGTAGTAAGTTTCAACCTCTACAATGAAGTCAGTTCACGCCTAACATGTATCAAGTAATAATAATATTGCCCATGAGGGCCGTAGGGTAGTCCTCACATCAGTCGGCGTCCCGCTCGCCAATCTCATGGGTCTCGTATCAAGCAACATCTTCCGCGAGAACGAAAAACCCAAATACCCCACAGCTCTTATCACGACTGCTTGTTTCGGCGCATGTGGATGCCTCATTGCGGGTCTCCTTGGTGGGTATATGGTGTTTGATAACATGCGGAGGAATCGTAGAGCAGGGAGAAAGACTACGGCTGCTGATGTACCGACGAAGCGTCTGCGCGATGGGCCAGCGGTTCCCGAGTTTCGCTGGTTTCTGTGAGGGAGAGTTAGTGGGTTTGGGCTGCAACAGGGCAAGATCAGCACCCCGCAGCGGATTTGGGAGAAGCGGGGGAAAATAACGCACTGTGTTGTGTCTGTATTGTACTACGTTACCTTTGAACTGACGATCCTGGTCTTGGAGATAACGATAAACAAAGGAGGCCAGAATTGAAGCCGAGAGGTATCTCAAGTGCTGTACGAGTTATCAACATTGTTTGTTTGTCTGCCGTATCATTTCCGTCATCATCACCGCCATCATGTACTCTCCCAAAGTAGGCGACAGCCTCGACTCGCTCGACACGCCCTCCATGATCGTCGACCTCGATGTCATGGAGGCCAACATCAAGAAACTTATGGACCGGCTGCTTCCAACTGGTCGTAACATTCGACCCCATCTCAAGACCAGCAAGAGCGCTATCGTGGCCAAGAAGCTCGTCGCTGCTGGTGCAAAAGGCGGTTGCGTCGCCAAGCTGAGTGAGGCCGAGGCAATTGCCGCCGCTGGCTTCACGGACCTTCTCATCACTTGCGAGATCGTCGGACCGGCCAAAGTCAAGAGACTAGTTGAGCTGTTCAGAAAGCATCGAGAGATCAGAATTGTGGTGGACGATGAGAGAGCTGCTACAGCCATCAACGACGCGCTGGGAGAGTCAAGAATTGAGGACCCTATCTCAGTCTTGATAGACTTGGATGTTGGATTACATCGCACAGGAACCCAGCCCGAAGGAGCTCTACCGCTAGCAAAACATATCAGCAGTCTGAAACACATGCGACTCATTGGAGTGCAAGGCTATGAGGGACATCTTCAACATCTTCCCGACTTTGAGGACCGAAAGAAGCAGTGCCTTGAATCGATGAAGATTCTCACTAATACTGCCCAAGCACTCAAGAACGAGGGCTTCAACATTGAAGTCGTGACAACAGGCGGAACAGGCACAGCAGACTTTTGCGCAACCGTACCCGGCGTGACAGAACTCCAGCCTGGGTCTTTCATCTTCATGGACACCGACTACCGCAACGCCATTGGAACATACTACTCTCATAGTCTATCCTTTCTCGCAACAGTTGTCAGCAAACAAGGAGAGCGACAGGTCACTATCGACACTGGCCTCAAGTCTCTGACAACGGATAGTGGCCTTGCTGAGTGCAAGGATCAGAGATACAGCTACTTTCAACTAGGCGATGAGCATGGAGCTTTGACGTGGGAAGAGGGTACACCAGCGCTTGATGTTGGCGATAGGGTTGAGATGATTCCAAGTCATATTGACCCGACGGTCAATCTTCATGACTTTTACTATGCTTATCGGAAAGGGATAATCGAGGAGATTTGGCCGGTTGACTCGAGAGGAAAGGTCCAATAAGGCAATTAGCTAGCAAGAGAAATAAATGTGATATTGCAAAATTGGCTGTCTGGGCTTTATGGAAGAATTGATCAGTGATCAAAATCCAGGCATCTGTAGGAGATTCAACTTTTTGTGATTACCCGAAGCCCACCTGATTCGCTTTTTAACCGCCCAACAAGGGTGTGAGTTAGTCAACGATGTTGGTTGAAACCCGACCTGCATCTCACCCAATAATCACCCCTGTCTAACAACGCCTCGTTGGTCGAAGGATCAGGCGTCATTTTATTTTCGTCGCAAGGGGCATCTATTGCCAAATCTTTCTTCCTCTGTCATCCCCGCTCAAGTCGATCACGCATTTGCGCGTGGACACTCACCGTCAGCAACCATGACAACACAAGTTCCAGCCCTCACAACGACCTTCACACCCGCCAAGTCATGCTTTCAGTATTACAAGTACAGATACACAGGCACTGAGCTCACATGCCTAGAAGGCGGCACCGGTGCGCCTAGCGCGTGCACCTATATGCAGCTGGGTCCCTCAGGGAGCGACGCAAACTGCTTTCCCAGTAGCATGGAACTCGGTTCAACGTTTTATTACTCCCCTGGTATATGTCCCAGCGGATTCGAAGTCGCGTGTAGTTCGACAGTCGGCGGCGAGACGAGAGCGACGTGTTGTCCGAGGTACGAAAACCAATGGCTGTTGACGGGGCGAGCTGACAATAGTACAGTTCATTTAGTTGTCAAACAGAGACGGGCTGGCCTTGGTACAGCACTGATCTTTGCACCATCGCGATCCCACGCACGGTCGAGGTGATAGTTTCCGAATCAGTTGTCGGAGGAGATTGGAAGAGGACTACTGTTAGTGGAGCTGCAGCTAATGCCATTGGTATTCCCATCCGATGGCATTCCTCCGATTTCGCATCCACCACGACTGGGGCAAGGACTTCTGCAACGGGCAGCGCGACAGAAACAAGTTCTTCCTCTACAGGAACTTCCTCGAGTGATTCTTCATCAGATAATGGGGGATTGAGCACTGGAGCGAAGGCAGGCATTGGTGCTGGCGTTGGAGTTGCAGTTCTTGCTGGATTGGCTGTTCTTGGCTGGTTTGTGCTTCGAGCGAGGAGGGCTAAGCAGGCAAATATGGCGGCTGCAGCTCGGGGAGACGAGGCTAAGGAACCTCAGATGCAGCCGCAACTGCACCCATGGGAGCTTGATAGTCACGAGGCTATGATTCCGGCGGAGCTACCGTCAGAAAGTGTAAGTCATGTTAGGTATAAATAAAGCAGAGTTGGGGTTAATAGTATTACATAATTAAAACACCAAAAAAACATAGCACCTCATAATATTTTAGTTCACATCCTGTACTGCTAGATTTAAAGGTGCTTCCATCTCGCCTGCAAACGAAACTGTCGACTGCTGGTGTACGCGACCGCCAAACAACAAAACATTAGCCAGGGCTTGGCCTTCTATAGCATAAAACGCGCAAAATAACACGGCAGTTTGACTTTGTTGGCGGTGTCATTGCCGAGACACCATCTATTGTCGCAAGTTACATCAATTAGCCTGCTAGGGTAATCAAGCGCTAATAGTGGTATCCGGATTTCCGCGCGCTTGCGTAGTGAGGGTGATTGGGTAGTCCGCCCGAACAATTTGGTTCCGTAGCATGTTCACCACGGGATTCTGTCGATTCCTGACCGAAAAAGATCCGAATTGTCGCACTGGCGCAAATATTAAGCGCCCAGACTAAATTGAAACTGCATAATAGTGGTTCACATGTGAAGCGGTCAAAGACTACCAATAATGGCAAAACCGCACCACTTAGCTAATGCTTCATAACTTTAGCTTATTTAAATTGAATACTTCTAGCACGATGTAGAATTTATTGCAAAGGCACCTGAATGTATCGTGAGTCGCGTGATGACTTGATAGTACACAGAAACATAACCTACCTACCTACTTAGCGATGCTTACGCTGACTAAACGACATCCGGGCTGCGGACAAATTCTTATGCCGAGCGGACATTGTACAATCCTTCTGGAAATTCTGCTGTGCCGCTGATTCATTACTGATGACGACTATCCAATTAGGCTGTGTCGATTCAAGTTAATAGAATAATCACGGACTTTTACGGCGGATCAACATAGAATTGTGGGTTATGAGCAACAGCTACGGACTTTGACGACGGACGAGCATATTAAACTATTTGTAATATAGTATCGATCCTAGAGTGGTTTAGTTGCGCGATGGATAAGAACAAATATAAAGCGCTGTCTGGCGACATGAATGAGAAGACTTCAACTACAATTCTCCCTAACGCATAGCACCATAAGCATCAAAAGCAATCTATCAAAGCCATGTCCAAGAACATTGTTATCATAGGGGTTACTGGGGCTCAGGTATGAAAACTGCTAACTCGAGCGACAATTTTCTAACATGCATCAGGGAGGATCTGTGGCTCAAACATTCCTCCAGCTCCCCGGGTGGAATGTCCGTGGTGTCACACGGAATCCCGAAGGAGAGTCTGCGAATCGTCTCAAGTCCGAGGGCGTCGAGATCGTTCAAGGCGATCTCGATGACAAGCAATCATTGATTCAGGCATTCAAGGGTGCTCACGTCATCTTCTCCAACACAGACTTCTTCACCCATCTACAGCAGGCAATGGCCCAGCCCGATATAACCAAGGACCGGACAAAGCTCGAGTACTCTTACGATCGAGAAGTCGCCCAAGGCATTAGAATTGCAGAAGCAGCAGCGGACCCCTCGGTCATCAAGACTCTGGAGCGCTTCGTCATGTCGACACTTAGCCATGCCACCAAATGGAGTGGTGGGAAGTACACAAAGGTCTACCATTTCGACAGCAAAGCCGCAATGATCAAAGCTACTGAAGAACGCTTTCCGGAAGTAGCAGCTAGAATGAGCACCGTGACTATTGGGCATTACGTCACAGTCTGGAAGCTTTTTGACAAGCTAGGCCCCAAGCTTCAGCCGGACGGTAGTTACCTAGTGTCCAGAAACACGCCGTCGGATTTCAAGATGCCTTTCATCGTCACAGAGCGGGATACAGGTAGCTTTGTCAAGGCATTGGTTGACCTACCACCTAAGAAACATATTCTGGGCGTCTCGGAGGAGATGACCTTGCCAAAATGGGTGGAGATATGGGGGCGTGTTAATGGAGTGAAGGCGTCGTATAAGGAAATTTCGCGAGACGAATTGTTCGAAGATGTTCCGGAGGATTTTGCTAACGAAATTGGGGATGCTTTCGATTACTTCCATGAGTTTGGCCTGTCTGGTGGGGATCCAGCAGTGTTGCGTCCAGACCAGCTTGGGGTTAAAGTCCCGCTCACATCGATGGAGGAGTATATCAGAAGTGAAGACTGGTCTACAGTTATTCAGTAACCTTATATGCATTTAGTTTTTTATCTATAAAATAAAATGTTTAATATCGTCGAGCCTCCCAGTCATACTCCCATATTTTAACACCGTCTATAACCAGATCATAATGGACAAGCAGCCTGCCTGATTGTGAGGTGTCAAACGTGACCTTTCCGAATTTCGAAGTACCCCAGGGATGTGAGTAAATCGACACATCAGTCTCCTCAATCTCCTTATGAAACCTGTCAAACGGTTCATAAAATTGGTTCAACGGGGAAGTGGAGAACTCAATAACTGGTTTGTCACCCTTCGCCTTTGCCGGGAACATCGTCGTAGCGTGTTCATGGCGGTCCTAGGCTATGTTAGCTTCACCTTTTGGTGTCTGACAAGAAAACTTACACCGCTGAGAATAACAGCGCCACCATTCTGCTTCATGATATCCAAGATTGAATCCCGCTCCCAGAGAAATCCCGACCAACTGTCTGTTGAGTCTGGGCCTCTCCAATTTCTTGTAAAAGGCACGCTGCTGACTACTACTTTCCAATCAGACTCTGCTGTGAGCCACTCCTTTAGCGCAGTAAGCTGTGATGCCCCAAGCATGGTTTTCTCTGGGCTATCAACCATCGCGTTATCCGATCGATATCTCCTGGTATCCAAGACAAAGAATGCTACGCCTTGGTATCGAAAGGTGTAGTAGGTCTTGTCTGCACCATACTCTGACGGCGGGTTCGCGTTTCCATGGTAGTTCCAGAATGGTTGCATGGCCGTCTTATAAATCCCCGTGTCATTCCATGCCCAGTCATTTATAATCTCATGATCATCATAGACATGTATCCAAGGGATTGCACGGAGTCGCGAGGACCAGGAAGGGGAGGCATATACCTGGCTATATGCCGCCGAGTATGCGTCAGCATCCCAGCCGAGCGGCATGGGGAGATCGATATAGATAAAGTCGCCCAGAAACAGTACCATATCGACTGGACTCCCGGAAAGGTATTGGCTCAGATGTTCAAGTCCCTTGATTCGGAGACCATGATCCAAAGGGTTGTACGGGTAGAACGGCTTGATGCAGCTTGAAGAAACTAGACTCCAGCGCTTCAGGCCACTGCCAGGTTGAGATAAAGTTCGAAACGACCCAGTATGACTTGCATTGGTTGAGTATGTGTGAGAAGTGTTGGGCTTGAGACCTTTTATCAGGACTGTCCCGACATAATCCGAGTGTTCATCTAAAAAGACTGATTGGGGTATCGGGATCTCGCCTTGATCGACAGAGACCGACGTGACTGTGATCTGAACATGATCAGAGATGGGAGCCATCAATACAATCCGAGCCGTCGAGTGATCCACATAGCCGACCTGAGAGAAGGACAGTTCGGCACTTTGATGAAGAAAATGGCCTCTGAAAAGAAAGTCGAGAACAGCAACAAGGCATGCCACATTGACGAGGAAGCTGCTAAACGTGAATAAAGGTCTGCGTCTATCAACGATAGCCAGCACTGGGGCGGAGACTGGACGTCTCTTCAACCGGAGATTGTTGTATTTGAGCAGAGCTAACTCTACGCAGAATGCAAGCAGGAATATGGCAAAACTACCATAAATGCGATCTAGATATCGCTTTCCTACCGGGTGCTGGTTTATGTCAACA